TCCATCCCATCTCATCTCCTCCTCCTGTCATCATCAGGTCATCCCACATTATTAGGGGGATGTGATCTCCAAACCCTCCAATCTCAGACCTTGTTGACCTTGTTGACCTTCTAGGGGGGGGGGGGCCCGTTGATTAATCCGACGTTTGCATTACGGGTCTCCGTGTCAATCCAATAGCTTCGCCACTCAAACCGTTCCAGAAACATCCGGGCCTCCGGCCGCCCTTCCTCCTCCACCCGATGAGGGCCCTACCGGTCGACCGGTCCACCGCCACGCCGTTTCGCGTTCGCGGCGGCCGCCACGCCTGTGTCTTTGTTCAAGCGCCAGCGACTACTGGGTCGGTCGTAGAAGATCCAGCCGGCCTCGTCACAATGATACCTGGGCCCACAAAGGGGAAGAGACCGATCCGGAAATCGGTTATGTATGTCAGTGAGTGATACTCAGATGAAATGACCTTAGGACCTAGATGAGGTTTTGGAATGTCCTTTCAAGTGTTGAAGCATCTATTTCGCAAATGGTCCGAAGTTGCATCGCTCGGACCTTGGAAAAGGGCGAGCCGTTTTCCAGAAGTTGCTTCTGTGAAGGCTTGTGCTAATCTCTGGGAGCCAGCACTCCCTTTTTGTATCTCCAACCTTCGGCGCATGGCATCGTGGTTCTGAGAGCGAAACACTCCGAGGATTCCTTTCTGAGCCATATTATTCCACTTACACCTGCCGTTCTATCATCACGGTTACGTGGATGACACCACCTGTTTGCTATTTGGATGGATGTCATGGCCATCCACGTGTACCATGGTTCTTGGAGTGTTTGTCGTCCAGGAGCTCGTTCGTTGGAGCCGAACCGGGGACGCCAAGCATCGCCAGCAAAAAACAGGAAGTTCCTGGTCACCGGTCTTGTTGAGGATATGACAAGTCTTTGTGAAAGTTGACTTTAAGACTTTACAATCTTTATACCGGTCTTGTTAGTCAACTATATATTATATATACCTCATCAACGATGATCACTCCAGGATCTCAATATCTCAAAGATTCTTAAAGACTTAAAGTCATTGGAGGTGTAAGCTGCCCACAAGCATCTACAATATATACGCACTATCACTTGTAGTTATAGAAGGTCCTAAAGCCCACACCTTGTTACATCTTGTTACTCCAGTCCCTTTTCCTTGCCCTTCTTACTCCTTTTCTCCGTGTTTCTCCCTTGTCCCTCTCTTTCTGCCCTCACTGGACATCATGCAGCTTCCCATCGAGTCCGCTCCAAGTCGCAAAGGTGCATTGTTGTAGATGCCCACCTTTTCGTAGGTGCCGTTAAAGGGGCCGCCCTTACCTCAGGTCGACGATCCGGGTTTCGACTGTCAAGTCGAACGGCACGAACGGTCGGCGGCACGTGTGCGGCGGGTGCTTTTGTGCGGCGGCACATGTGCATGGGCGGGTGCATGGCATGACTTCACAAATTCAATGACCAAAGATTACCAAAGATTTTCGAGTTCTGAAGCCCAGAATGGAAAAAAGGGCGACTGTTTTCTTCACCAAATGGCTGAGCTCCACGTTCCTGGAGCGCTCGAATTTGGGCGTCTCCTCAGCTGGGACGGAGGTGTACAAACATCCATCAGCCTAGCAAGCTCATGGCAAAAACACACACAAAATAGCAGGATTTCTCCATGAATCATGCATCCTCCTGATGATCTAAATATGTTGGTTTTTTCTTGTTTGACAAATGATACAAATGTTCTGCATGTGTGCAAACATCGTCAAACATACAGAATATGCCCATTCCTAGCCTATACCTTCTCTCCAGTACACATCCACCACATGAAAAAAAAACCAGCATCCTATGATATCCTGTACAAAAACCCACTTCAAGGGTCGAAGTAAACATCTCTCTTCGGACCAACGCATGAGAGGAGGAGCCCGGGCGTCGCACAGTCCGTGTGGCACCAGGTGCTTGGTGTGTGAATCTGCCACCAGGCGGCCCTTGAGCTCTGTTCTTGCATGAAAGAATTGATGTACTCAGCATGGGGAAAGTGGGCCACATCTGGTTAGCATGTCTTATGGGGTCTCCCTCCCAGGCCTTCCGACCCCTTCAGCATAACCATACCGGACCGTCCCACCCCGTCGGACGGCCGTCGGAACCCTACCACTTCTCCGAGTTCCGCCCGAGTTCGGTCCTCACCGAAGACGCGGACGTTCCGAACGATCTCTGCCAAGCAGCCCGATACTTGTTATTCGCCACCAGCCGGCAAACGTGTTTCTTTAAGCAAACCTCTCCGTGCACCTGCCAATTCTTGGGCAAAAGCTCAGCTTCCGATTCCTGAAGCCACCCTAAAGAAGGAACACACAGGCTGCCATGCTATCCTGCCTCGTCTTGGCTAGGACGTTCTATTTGGGCCATGCAAAACTCCAACAAACACCATTGCGCTTCAACATGCATGACCCAAATCAGATACTAAACCTCCCCCGCAACTCTTCGTAGAACCACCAACATATACCCCACCTGAAAAACTCTGCCTTCCGTGGATGTGCTCCCAACCGCAACACCCATGACCCATGGTGGCTTTTGGATCGGCCTGAAACTCCTTGTAGACGTCCAAGACATCGGAACTGCCAACCTGGCTTGGCCACGCGGCCGGACGATGGGTGGTTTCACCGCAACGGCGCCTTTGGTCGGTGGGTTTCGAAAGAAAGCCACCTTTCTCGACCGGTTGGGCTTAGTACATCGTTGTATGTAGAAACTGGTTTAACTTACCACTTCAACAATAACCCAACTACTGCTGCTATACTACTAGCAATACTAGTAGAAGGACAGGGCGATGCAAGTGAAGTTAGCCTGCATCACTTTCACTGCCCAGTTGCCTTTGGGCAGTCGATGCGAAACTTGCCCTGGAACGTCCTCAGCCAAGATCAGCCAAGCATATGTTTAGAGAAGCTGGGACGTTTCTTACACCTCTGACTTTCAAGAGGTCAAAAGAAGAATCGAAAGCAACAAATAGTAATAACAATAATAATGAATAGAAAAGGCATGAAAAGGCCCAAATAGGGTACTGTAAAGAAACAAGAATCAACACTCACCCACCCAGCCAAACCCACACACATCCTTCATAAAATTCTCAAAACGCCTCTAGATCTCCTGGCTGATGCCACTGTGCCGAGCATCTGTGGCCAGGCGCTGAACTCCCCAAGGCTCGCGGGCGGTGGATGCTTGAGCTCTTGGAAGACGAAGGATGCACGGCCTGACCGGTGGGATGACGGTCGTGGCACCGAAAAAGACCGACCGGTTGACCGAAAATGAACGCAATGGCCTACCAGACATGGTCAGCCTAAGAGGGTGAGTTCTGGGCTCCCAGGTTTGGACCCACAGCCAAATCTAGGATCCACTGATCCAAAACCTGGAGGGGGGGGATGCTGAACATTTGTAGGATACGTGGATTCGAGTGGGGGAAAGTTGTGGTATGATCGCAGCTGATGGTCTTGTTGAAGAAGTTTTGGGTGGTTTTTGGGAGATCTTTCCGATGGGGCACCAGGGCTTCCAGTCCGTTTGAACCAGTCCGTTTGGAAGGTTTGTAGGGTGTTTGGTTTGTGGCAGCTTGTGGAGTGGGGGGGAAATCACGCCACATTCCCAAGATCGAAACCACATCAATCTGGCTTTGGGATGCTTTAAGTAGTGCCACTGGTTCTGACTATAGATCGACCTTGACATGGGATGTTGTTTGCGATGGGAGTTGACATCGCTTCATCCATCCTACCGGATGGTTGCTTGAACATGGAGTGCCTGAACGCCCGTTGCTGCAACGAGCTATACAACGCCCAGCACTTGAACAAGGCTAGGGGTTTGCACAGTGATCAGGGTCTCTTCCACTCAGTGATGCCCAGGGGACCGGTCAGGTTCTCAAATGATCACAACCTGATCCTTTGTGATCAGAGATAAACCTAACAAGCCAACAATGCCTTTTGCGGCCTCTCAGGGAGAAAACTCAGGATCCATATTTGTCTCATGGGCCAACGTAGGTCTCCAAGTGGGCCCCCCAAAGGGATGAGACGTGGGCCCCATTTGGGGATGATCAGGTGGGTGTTGCAACTGCCATGCATAGTTCAGGGAGTATATCTGTGAAGAAGCCGTGGATGAGTTGGTCACCAACAGTAGGCCGACCGCGCAGCGCAGATCGGATCCTTCCGGAATGACCAAAAAAAACGAGACTCTGGGCACCTTTGAAAGACAGGGCCGGATACAAAGCAATGCCATCCTCAAGGCGTGAAGCTGGAAACTACTCAGGGCTTCGACGATGAAAGACGAACGTTGTCACGTGGTCACGTGGTGACACAAGATACGACTGCCTGGAACGACCACATGGGTGGTTAAGTGGATGGAAAACGGCCGCGAGGTCGGAAGACCATGAAATCCACGAACCAAACAGGTGGTGTTCACTCCAACCATGTGAGTTCCAGGGAGGGTATCTCTGATGAGGTCAATGCGTGGCTGTGTGGGGTCAGAGGATCGGTGGTCTGTTTGATGTCTGTAGGACATGGAGATATATACCACCTCCAGTCATCATAGCAAAGCAGCAAGCAAGCTGTCCTCTTCATGAGACCATGGATGAGCTTGAAAGATACTAGAAGATGGGAGTATACGGATACGAATACCAAGTAGATACGTAGTGAAAACAAGCAATCTCGACGGTCCTACCACTGAAGGTACACATCCTCTCTAACAGCCGAGATGGAGTTTTGACAGTGTCAAACTCGGTCGTCGACAGGAGCTGGGCTGCCGCCACCGCTCGCAGCAAAACTCTTCAGGTCACGAGCTGCGAAGCAATCAGCTCGAATGGCATGGAAATCAAGGCATAGTAAGGACGAATAAGAAACCAATACTCTTCCTTGCGTCCCACAAGTGTTCTTGTGTTGGTGGACTCAACATGATGCACAATGTGCTCAGGGCGGCTCCCGCGTGGGACAGTACGATACAGCTGGACTATTCAAACTTCGGAGTCAGAGACCTCTTCGGCGACATCCAGTCCCTCTCAGCCGGGCATCTGGTAGGTTGCTGAAGGAGGGTTTTTCACTCCACAGGCCATTCACGCCAAACCTGTGGCGGCCGTGAAGTGGCGCGGCCACCGGTGGGCCGGCACCGCCCGGCCAAAAAAACACGTCCTAAAGGCTTTATCATCAAGTTCCCAGCCCCACAAGTGTTTTTTTCCAAATGGTCCAAAAGCTCCTTAGCAAGTGTCCTGCCAAGCTAACACTGGGTTCCATCTGTAGTAGCTTAGCAGCCTTCCTTATCATGGATAAACACATTGCAAATATTCCTTACTTATAGGGCTCCAGGCAAGAACTCCATTGCAAATGCTGACGACAGCTACTTACTTCTCCAAAAAATAGGTCAAAACAAACGGAACAAAGGTCGGACGTAAGCCTCCTCCACACTCCACACCTTGCTTGGACCAAATCCTCCTCATGCTCTTCGGCTTCAGTGCTCGAGGTTGGACATGGTTGCGAGAGCTACACTCCCTGAATTCATCATGCCTACGTGGAGGGCACACCTGTTTGGTCTTCGGATTTCATGGTCTACATTCGTCTTCCGGATGCCATTTTCCCATCTATGGATGCTTTCAGGGAGTGCATCTGTGGCATCTGCTAGCTCCACCCGGATCTGTTCCCATTGGCTCCACGCAGCCAAAGCTTTTTGGCCGCCAAATCCACCGCCACTCCCACAAACTGCTTTCCGCCTTGGGGGCTCAACACGCATGGCACGAACGAGAGGATTACTCAAACACTTTGCGTGTTGAAGAAGAAGATGATGATGACGATGATTCTGAGGGTGATCTCTACCGTATCATTATCATTTTGGACACTTGGACAGAGCTTGAGTAGAAAGTATAGCTGAACACTTGAACACTGTCCCAAACCGCCGCTGTGCTGTTCTGTACTGTCCCAAACAGCCTCCGATTGGTCTTCCTTCGCCTCTAGGGTCTTCCGAGGTAACTCAAGTCTCCCTGCTGCTCTACTACAGTTATGATCACCAGCTCGTTTCCTTGGGTACCCTCTTGCCGCAATCAAGCCTCCGGCTGGGGCGGCATGCATGATATCGGCGAGTCAAAGGAGGGCATAACTGCACGATATAACCCAAAACATTTTGTGAGCAAACGACTGGTGTAACTGAGCAAGTACTTATATAATCTGAAATATGCGTTGCCTTCGTTTTGTTTCTTTACCTGCTATCACAAGGCAGGGGCTAATTGCGGGAGGTAGCACCCCAACACTCAACCAGTGTGAACAATGCACAATGCTTAACAACCAAACTCGATGGTACACTTCTCGATTGTCGCCGACCGGTGGCGAATGACCATGCACGACCAAAGTGCGAGGCGCCCCTTTTCCTGAAAGGCTCGGACCCACCCTGCGGTTAGGGTGTCATGGTGCAAACGAAGGAGGCAAACAGCTCATGTGGGGTATGTCATGACATGTCATCTCGAATCTCTCATCACCCCCATTCCTGAGTTGTTTGCTTCCTTGGCCGCTTTCAAAAGGCCATCGGCTTTGTTCCGCCAAAATGGCGATTGCCGTGAAAAAGGATTCTTCCTGCTCTCGAATCTGCTTCTCCAGCTCTTTCTTGCGCACCTTCCTGCACGACTCAAAGCTTGGATCGTGCACGAGCTTCCAGCGCTGCCCGTGGGCTAAAAAGGTCAACAACACCTTCCTGCTAGCCCACTTCGTTAGGCTGTCAGCCAGTTGTACACCTCCGTGGACCCAACGGAATTGGGTTCCAATGGAGCGTGCCTGATCGACACTGATCGTCAGCTCATATCCAGCTCGGGCGGATCGGAGGCCGTGGAGGCTCGAGACATTCCGGGTTGCAGCGTCATAGATTCCTCGGGTGTCCATGATCACCGCTCCTTGCGACATTCCTCGTACCATCTGGTACAGGTCCTCCTTTTTCTCAAACGTCTGGCCGTGGACTTCACACCACATGGCTCTGGTGTGGAACACAAAGTCTTCGGCCGCGGTGACTGACTGCACCTCAGCTCCGTTGGAGCCCATGACCTGTCGTGGGGTCTTGCTGGAACGCCAGTGTATCAAAGACACACCATGTTCTTCACCTTGGAGAATTCCAGCTGGTGCAAGACCGCCCACTATCCCCATGGTGCTTGAGGAGTCGGGCCTATTCTTCTGGCCGGCATCGGCCCATGCTAGCACTGCCACTTGCTGCCAGGGAACGTGCCAGGGGTGAAAGACCAGTGACTGGCTTGCCTCGCGCTTCATCTCGCGGATGAGCTTGTTGGTCTTGTGGACCATCTCGACTGTGGCCCATGGCAGTTCTGAAAGCAGGAGGCCTGCGTCAGCGAGGTACTGCGGCGAGGTCTGGGAAGCTCGCCAGGCGATGGTGCCAATTGCACCTCTCAGCATGGACACTTCATTGGCCGTAGCTGCTGACTTCCTTTGTTGCATCCGGGCTGCATCAAGGTGGATCTCCTCAATCCATTTGTCGGTGTACTCCTGTTGGTCCACCCGGATTTGGAAGTCTTTCGACTGCTTGATCCTGCAGCCGGTGAACTTGAAATCATCGTGCTCCCACTTGCCCCATCGGTAGGCCTCTACCAGTTCTTTGAAGCATCGTTCAAACTTCTCATGGCCATCTTTTCCTCCGATGAGCACATCGTCCACGTGGATCCCTGCAATGGAGATCACGTTCTTCTCTGGCGAGTCGTCGGTGAGGACGAAGAGGCATTTGTCGCTCTTCACCTGTTGCCACCCAATTCGGCGGAGAGTGCCTGTGAGGTGGTCAAACCATGCTCTGGGTGCATGCACAAGTCCATAGAATGCTCGCCGGATTCTCAGGGGCATGACTGGGTTCTCAGGAGGTGCTCCAAAAAGCACTGCAAGCTCTGCTGGCGCCCAGATGGTCAGCTGTTGGCTCTCCATGCACTGGTCGGCTTGAAGGAATGCCGACGTGGCATCTCCTCCGCGGATGCGGAGTCCCAGGTTGGCGCATGCCGCCAAGATCATGTTCCTGGAGAGGCGCGACATGGTTGGTGATGCCGCTTCCACCTGGGTCAAATTCGGTGCCTGGTAGCCTAGGACCACCAATCGGGCCTTTGGAGACCCATCTGACTTGGTCGTCAAGACCCAGCGCATCTTCATCACTGATGCGGGATTCAGGCTCAGGTGTTCCTGCTCCGTGAGGCAGCGAAGAGCCTTTGACTGGAGAACTTGGGAGAGCTCTTTGCACTGCGCTTCATCGAATCCTTTCTTTTCTTCCATGGTCAATTTTGACCAGAGCTTTTCTTTGCTCTTTTCTTGGACCTTCTTGGACATCCAGGCGGTGGCCCTGTTGGGATGATTGGCCAGCCATTGCGCTTCTTTGGGAGTCACCTCAATTTCAAGCGCATAGACCGCTAGGTCTTCTTCTTCAGCCTGGTTCTTGTCCTTGTCCTTCTTTCTTCTTTTCATTTCACGGTCAGGGACCATTTAATTTCTTCTTCTGAAGAGGATGAGCTCGAGGAAGAGCTCGAACTTGACGAAGAAACCTCTTCATCGACCCGTCCGTTGTACGGGTCCCATGTGAACCGCTTTTGGTTCGGGTCCTGGTGTGGTCCTTCATGACCTCCGGGGAGCTGGCAGTTCTGGACTTTACAGTGGTTTCCAGAATGGTCTGCAGGTCCGCTTACTGGAGTGCCAGGGATGCCATCAACTGCATCCGGACCACGTTCACGAAGAGCCTCTTGCAGGCTATCATCAGGCATGGGGATGACTGCTCCCGATCCTGTTGTCTCATTAGCTGCCGTGTCCTCTCCCTCGAGAGGAGTGGCCTTGGCCTTCTTCTTCACGGCTTTGCTTGCACTTAATTTTGGTGCCCTCTTCTGCGGGCCACTGCTTGCTTGAGCAGATGAAATCTCAAACCAAGTTTCCCCTGTCCACCGTTCTTGGAGCAATCGGTGGGGATCCTCTGACTCTTTGTAGTCATCTTCAATCAGGACTTGGGAGGATCCTTCGATGAGGGCCTTCATGTGCGTCTTCCTCTTGCCGGTCAGTTGAGCCTCATCGATGGGCGATGATGTCACCCGTGCTGGGGAAAACATTGCCAGCCTCGGTGCGTTGTGCACACGAATGAGCCACTTGCCTGGCTCGATGCGCCAAGTGTCTGGCTGGTTCTTGGCTGGCTCGAGGATCACCGTAGTTCCGGCCACATCTGTTTGCTGCTGCTGCTCTGAGGGTGCTTCGCCGCAGATGTTGGTGTAGTGCTTGCCGGTGAAATCTCTTAGAAGGGACTCAAGTGTCACTGGCATTCGAAGGATGGCTGTCCCTTCGAGCGAAGCTTGCAGTTCTTCCCTCTTGGTGATCGCTCGAACTTGGTTTGTCTTGGCCTTTACGATGTTGGATCCTGTGGCCATCCAAACTGTTGTGCCTTCTTGGATGAGCACTCGCAAAGGACCCATCCAGTTGCCACCCACGCGTCCGGGGCGCATCTTCTGCCGCCAAACCATCACCAATGCACCAGGGTTGTACTTGGCAGGAGGCCTGGTGGTGGCATTTGAAAGCTTGCTCATGCGGGTCTTTGCGGACTCGAGCTCAAATGCTGCTTTGGCTCGCGCCTTCAGCTTGAGCATTCCTTCGAAGGCTTTCTTGGGATCCATGCCAACTGGGAGAGCTTCTTCTGGTGGATCAGCTCCTCTTGTCCATTGGAATGGACTAAATCCATTGGGACCGGTCGTCTTATTGTGGGCATGGACGGAAAGGTCCATCAGGGCCTCGATGTCGAGGGCTGGTGTCTCTTTCTTCAGGCGAGACAAGGTGGCCTTCAGGAGGCCAATGCAGCCTTCTTCAGCTCCAAGCAGCCAGTGTGCTTCTGCAGGGGTGTTCATCAATCCAATGCCACTTCGGCCCATCACCTCAGATGACGTATAGTACGTCGCCGGATCTGAAATGATCCACTTTGGCGTTGGGTTGTGTTGGAGCCATTTGCCAAAGGACTTCAGGACATCTGCTGCTTTGGGCTCCCAGTTGCGAACCTGCCCGCCATAGATCTTCAGCAGGTCGACTTGGGCCAGGCCGCTTGCTCTATCCCGCCAAAGAATGAATTTGGCCTTTTGGGCTTCTTGGGATTCATGGTGGTTGAACTCCACTTCAAACACATCCGTCCCGACTTGCTCAAATAGAGCTGGAAGTTCACCTGTGCTTGCAGGCGGAGCTGGCCGGGGCTTCTTTGCTTCGATGCATTCACTGCACCGGAGTTCACCTGCTAAGGCCACTGCCCAAGGAGGGGCGTTGCGGGCCCGTAGGAGCTGCTGCAAGTTTGCCATGGAGGGGTGACCTGATGCTCGGTGGATGCGGAGCATGGTCTGCTTGATTTGCTCCAGTCTTTTGCCTGTGGGCCTTTCTTCAGGATAGCGCTGTCTCGTCAGGGCCATGATGGAAGGCTCATCTTGTCTTGCTTGACCTTCCCAGCTTTGTTGGGATTCATCTTCATCAACTCCCAGGAGATGGATTTGCACGTCCTTGGAAAGGGAGATATTGGCCTTATCTTCATAGGCCGTCCATGTGCCGATGATGGCCTTCACAGCCGCTTTCACCATGGCTGCGGGGTAGTAGGAGCTTGCCTGAGCGACATGCCCACGGCACTCCAGGTGTTCAGGATGACCTGGACATTTCTTCTGAAGGGCCAACCATAGGCCTCGATTGGACGTCATGACTGTCCAGCCCTTCTTCACTGGGATGCCTTTGAAGGTGAGGCCGTATGCGCAGCCGTGGAGTCGGCACCAGAACAATGGTCTTCCAATGGCCTTCATCTTATCTTCAAGGCGTTTGATCGCCCTTGATCTCCATCCCTTGGCAGCTCCAGTTGGCCATTCCCAGGCGAAGTCGTTCTCGTTATCCAGGGTCTGGCAGATTGCCTGGCTCAACTCATCAGCGCGCTTGAGATCACGCTGCTGCCGCTTTTCGAAGTTTGCTTGTTCCTCAGGAGTGCGAGGAGTGAGGTGAGTGAGGGATGACAACCTGGTACATGGGAGGCTCACCCATGTCATCTTGGGCTTCAGCTGCTTCATGCTGGTGGTCAGCTTTCCGGTGCCAGCCTTCTTGTCAAGGTCGAAGCCCTCAAGATAGTTCACTCTCTGGATTGAGTAGCCATTTGCTTCCATCTCAGTGCTGAGTGCACTCGTGGCTGAGCATGCCACTTCCATGAAGTCCACCGTTCCAGCCATCTGGGTGAGCAATGACTGCATTGGGGCCATGATCATCGCGCCGAGGATGGCTGCCTTCATGGACATCTTCTTGGCCAGAGATGGAGGCACTAGGTTCTTGCTACTTGTCTGGCTCTTGTTGTAGGCCCATGCCGTTGGGCTTGTGCTCCAACTCTCCGTGGGATGCCCGTGCGTGTCCCGGAGAGTCATATGGCTGGGCTCAGCCATCAGGTTCGTGGTGTGTGTCGTGTTGCTCGTTGAGCACGTGGTGCATGCCGTGTTGCCGTGGTGGCACGTGGTGCTGTTCGTGTGGATGATTGCATCCTGCTGTGGATTGAGACCGAGTGAGGTCTTTGCCGTGCTGCCTTCCGCTGCTGCTGAACCGCTTTCGGAGCCCATACCAGCTCCAAGGCCACGACTCTGCAGCCTGGTCAGCCTTTCTCGCAGGCCCTTCAGGGATCGCCAGATGCCTTGCCCTTCTCCGTCGGGGCTTCCCATTCTTCCTCCTCCGAGTGGATCATCACCACTTCCGGGCCGTCCGGAATCATCTGTGGCGTGCCCTTCGTGACATCCAGCTCCTTCTCCTTCTTGGCGGCCAGGTAGCCCTTGATTGCCATCTCCTTGATCTCCTTCTCCAAAGGGCCTTCGGGCGGAACGCCCTTCTTCTGACTGGCCTTCTTTGGTTCCGGACTTGATGGAACCTCGCTCGGGCTCGATCGGGCAGCACTTGATGGAGCCTTGGTCGATGGAGTCATTGGCACTCCATCCATTCGGCCAAACTTCTCCAGCCTCTGGTGGTACTCGTCCAAGGTCATGTTCAGCTGGAGGGGCGTTGGAATGCCCATCTGAAGCATTTTGCCTTTGATCTCCATCATCTTGCCATTCACCACGTCCATCGTGACCTCGCTGGCTTCCATGCTCTTCTCGATGTCGGCCAGTGCCAGCCGAATGATCTGCGGGTCTGGACCCATCTGCCTCGTGCCACCGTGCCCGGCTTTCTTCGTCTGGTACTCCAGGCGAATCCCGCACTTGAGGCATACCACCCAAGTGGCATACTGGTTCTGCCTCGTCTTGCCCTTGTGGTGGCCGTAGCATGGAAAGCCGATCTGTCTTGGGTCGTCGATCGCTGCTGCGGCCTTGCTCGAGGCCATGCCGTTCACGAGTTGCTGACAGCCTTTGAGCCAAGTTCTCCAAGCGATCGGAGAGCTTGAGAGGTGAGTGCATCACGAACAAACTCTGAACTGCGGTGGTCGAACTCACGGGAGGCAACTGCTCGCTCAACTTCCAAAAAAACATTCCAATCAATCTCCGATTCAACTTGAAATGGTGGGGATGCCAAATCAATGGTGAGGTGACCTGAACTCAAAGCTTCCATTTGCACTGCATTCACAATGTTTCCACTGCCAGTTGTCCCGGGTTCAGATGGTTCCGGGGCAAACAAAAACAACCCATTCGAATACGACAGCAATGCTCTCTTTGCTCGCAATGTCTTGGCTCCCAACAGTGGCGGCGTTGTTGCCCCCAAATCTCCTAGCACGTAAAAATTGAGAGCACCCAGCGATGTATTGTGCAGTACAACATTGCTCAATGCTCTGCTCTTGTGTCCATTGCCAAATCTGAACACTGGGAGGCTGTCATGGGAAACCTCGTGAACAAAATGCCCACTGCTCACCATCTCTTCCAAACACGCAATGCCCACAGCGTTTTCCGTCGCTCCAGTGTCGATGACTGCTCTTGTTGAGCTTCGAGACCGTTGGGGAAATTCGTCCCAGCGAACATTCACATAGAGCTCCGTGAAAAATGCTTTGCCACCCTTGCCTTTCGGTGATTTTCCACCTTTGCCAGACTTGCTCTTGCCTTTGCCGAATCCTTTTCCTCCTTTGGAGAATCGGTCAGGGCATTGGCGATAGCTGTGTCCAGGGCGACCGCATAGAAAACATGGTCCGAAGGATCCTTTGTTGCTCAATGTCTTCCCTTTGCCTGAGCCAGGTCCAGAAGACGACTTGCTTTTGCCTTTGTTGCCACTGATGCCCTTGCCACTGCTCGACTCTGGCGAGTAGTAGCCACGGGCAGCGCGAACTTGCTTCACTGCATTGCGGGCTTCCTCCAAAGTCCGGGCTGCCTCATTTGCAAGGGCGAAGGCCTCATGGTATTGACGCTCCTCAGGGATCTCACTCTCCTCGATGGGATTCAGCTCTTCTTCATTGGGCCACCACGAGTCATCGTAGCCCCATTCATCTTCTTCCCATCCATCATACCAGAAGCTATTGGGCTCATCTTCCCACTGATCCCACGAAGTGGGACTCCATTCGTTCCAATCCAGCTCCAACTCCTCTTGCTCGGGCTCCCACTCACCATCAGCCCACCAAGCCTTTGCACTGCGGCCACGATCATGAAGCTGAGATCGCTCACTCTCCTCAGCATACAAGGTTCGCAGAGCTTGACGGATGGCATAGTAGTGGGTGCTGTTTTGTGTCTGAACCAAAACTGCTTGCCGCTCGCTTTGACTGAGTTTTGCTGCCTTCATCAACCTGTATCCACGTAGTTCGTCCTCAAAGAAATTGGCCAACGTGTTCGACCCAGAACCACCACCACTGCCCAATGTAACGGTCGGTACCGTATCCGGTGGAAACTCACGCTGTTCGGACGCGCGCCTCTGAGCTCCAGCGACGGGGGATTGAGACGGAGTGGATGGAGGATCCATCCTGGCAGGTCCAGGTGTCACGACATGGCTGAGGGCTCGGTCAGCCCTTGCTCTCACCAGGCTTTGTTGAAGGTCTTGGAACACCTCTTCTTCCTTGACAATGAGCTGAGCCATTGTTTCGTTGGGACCTTTGCGGAGATGGTGCCAATGCTCCAGTTTGCCAAAGCTGTCGGGAATTGGAAGTTGCTGGAGTGGACTCGCTCTCAACACATTCAGAAGACGGGTCATTCCGTCGTCATCTGTGTAGTCATCGGGGTCGAGGTGCTTGACGACGCTGCGAGCAGCGCCCGACAATGACTGCCAGATCTTCGGTGCTGCTTGGGATCGCTCTGAAGGCTTCAATGACTTTTGAAGCCACTTGCATGCAACAACAAATGTATCAAATGTCGAAGCGTTGCCGTCCCAGCACGGCACACCAGCAGCCGTCGTAGTCATCCAGCCCCTGGAGCCCCCAGGGGCTCCGCTACCATGCGGGAGGTAGCACCCCAACACTCAACCAATGTGAACAATGCACAATGCTTAACAACCAAACTCGATGGTACACTTCTCGATTGTCGCCGACCGGTGGCGAATGACCATGCACGACCAAAGTGCGAGGCGCCCCTTTTCCTGAAAGGCTCGGACCCACCCTGCGGTTAGGGTGTCATGGTGCAAACGAAGGAGGCAAACAGCTCATGTGGGGTATGTCATGACATGTCATCTCGAATCTCTCACTAATCAAAGAACTATTTACACTAACATATTTCTGAGATGAGCAAAAACTGCAGTTAAGATCAAGAAAAGGTTTTGGCCTACTTGGGTGACCAAAAAAGATCCAGTTTGTCGTTGTGCCGCACGTATGTCCACATGAAGAAAAGTCATTTCAGCACCTGATCACCTCACCGTTTTAATGGGAGTAGTCTAGGTTGACTGCAACCGCTGGATAAGAGAATTCCCCAGACGCTCCTGGACCCTCATATGAAGGGGTCGGACCCACATATGGAGGGGTCGGGGTCTCAAATCCCTATGGTTTTGAGGGACCAAGGGCTGTTTGGAGCGTCTGGGTCAATCTTTAAAAAAGACTCATTTCTCTTATCGAGTGACTTCTCTAGAAGCTCCGCCACACAGCCGTGAGGTTTCTCTTATCAAATGAATCCTCACCGACTTCAGCCACACCGACGTCCGCCAAGCGGCCATCGCAGCTCGCCATGCGACAGCCCTGGCACCGAGGCCGATGGGAGACACGCCGGACGGATGTCCGAAGAATGATGCTGGTCTGTCGGCCTGTCACACCTGGGCTGTTTTGCGAAATAGAATAAGCACCCAGCTGTTCTACAAAGAATTCAGCAAAGCCCGAATTCCATCGAATTCCTTTCATGCATGTTCAACCAGTGAAGAAAACCAGTGTCAACCCCTGGAGACACACTCCTTTCCCTGCGCCTCCCATCCTTTGCTCTGTCCGTTGCTCCAGATCTCTGCCTACAGTCAGTCGATACGTGGTGTGCGAAGCAGGTTCTAGCAGGTTCCATGTGGCCGTCGATTCAGATGTTGCTGTCGTTTTCACGACATGTCTTTGCCGAATGCCTGACGTGACGGAAAAAAACCGATGCACAGCTTCAGCTTCAGAGACAAAACTGAAGAACACTCTGAAGAACCTTCTGCATAGCTCTAGAGCACATCAACCAACCATCGGACTCCTAGCACCGTAGCACCATCGTTTTGCCGGGACGTTCGCGAGTCGGTGTTGGCGACGTGGAGCACAGCGGAAGATCCGAGTGGCGTGTTGTGGATCCAAAGCCCAGCCGTGCGCATCATCGCCCACGCCTGGGATTTTTTCAGCTAGAGAGAGAGAGAGCAGCCAAAGAAACAAAGAACGAGCAAATAGGAAAAAAGGAAAAAAACAAAAGAAGATAGGCAAATCATGTTAAAAGAACTGCTCAAAATCCGGTCCAGGCACGGATTCCTAAAGACTTCTTCTTCCTGTTTCTTCATCATGATTTCATTCAACTTCTTCCTAAACTAAATCTGCTTGTACAACTGTAGACTACTCTGTAGACTGTATAGACCTGTTCTGCCAACGTTACCAGTGCTGGCTCGCCGAGCTCGTGTTGGGCGTGGTTCGACCGACCGGCGTGGTTCGACCGACCGCCTGTGGGTGACATCACCCCCAAGCGTTTCTCGTAGAGCTCGGACAGGAGACCCACCTGCCAAGCGGGACACGATCTGGGAACAGGGATGGGTGGTAGGATAAAACGATGCAGGTCATGCTTGGTGATGGAGTTCAGATGTTTTGAGATGTTTCAGACTGCTTCTGACGGGTGCCTTCATCGACGATTTGTGCATCAATGGGCGTTTGAAGCGTTTGAACACGCTTCGCTTCGCTATCTTCGCTGCGCTGGGATCCGGGCTTGGGGTGTCTCCACATGCTCATAGAACTCCACCTGACCGGAGTGAAGGATACAACGAAGGCAACACCCGTGTCGAGTCTACATTAAGACGCTTGATGAATCAACCACCCCATATGAAGAGGATATGAAGAGGCTTCATCAATTCAAATGGAGGGGGTTATTCATCAAGAGTCTACATAATAAATGTACATCGAAGTCTCAGCTTAAAGAAGCGAAGGCTAGGCAGCTAGTCCGTTTTTGTTGGGCTTGATGAAAAGGCGGCTCCAGCCTTCTGAATCCCGCCAGCGGGGCAGTGAATTCCAACCAAACGGAGCTCAGAATGTGAATCAGTTAGTAAACGCGTCCAGGCACGTCGTCTGATCCACATGTGCCATGGTAACTGTTGCTTTGCTGTAGGGATGCTCATCCATAATGTCAGTAAGGACTCAGGACTGCATAAAATCCCACTTCAAAGCCCTTGGTGAGGGCAGGATGACCATCCCACATGAGCCCAGCATAGCAGGGACAAGAGCACCTCGTACACGAAGCGCCCGGTGTCACGCTTGGCCAGCTTGGGATACCCCACAGTTATCCTCAGGCACAGCAGCCGATCCATCTCGTGCCAAAACACCTGGTCTTCTGACTTGTGCTCAGTAGGGAATGAGGGTGGCTGGTTCCATCATGGAATCTCTATTGGGGGCGAAACATCCCTCATTCCCTACGAATTCGTCGCACCAGTCAGTCTTTGGTGCTCTGGTGTTTGGTTGCAACTGTTCACCGTTTGAGATGTTCGAACAAGAAAGGCCAGTCTGGGCCGAGGAAAGGGGCAGAGTCTGGGCCAGAATGGCCTCGCGGAGGGTTCCTGAACCGGTCTAGGCCACCGAGCCATTCCTGCGAGCAGTCCTCAGAATAAGCCCTGGCGAGCCGAGCTGGTTTTGGTTGGCACGTGTGGTGCCTGAAGATTTCAATGGTGATGGCTGGCCAAGTAGCTTGGGATTTGAAAGGCTGGACAGGTTAAACTGTTTTCATCTAGGCCCGACCCAGGCTTCGGGTCGGGCGGGTCTATGCAATCATCTTCGGGTACTACACAACACTGCACGACCAAGCACCCAACGTTGAATGCTGCTGTCCGTCATGTGTGGTCTAGTCCTTCTTGTTACTATACTAGCTTCTTGTTACTACTAGTAAGGCACCTGTTACTACTAGCGTGGCACTTGTTTCTACTAGCAAAGAGTCTAGAGTGTCAGCAACGACCCCAAAGAATGATTCGAACCAGTCCTTGGGCGCCCATCTGTTCCACCAACCCACCGACACAGCTCCGTCCATCCGGAACCGCCTCAGGACTTGTGGCCACGCACTCTTGGGCACGTTCCCGGAGGGTGCACCGTTCTCGATGTGAGGCAAAGCAGCCATGGCCACGCGGGTAATCTCCTCTCACAAAAGCAAGACGGAAGGAACAAGTCAATGGAATGGTTGACAGAATCTGGCCTTACTTGGAAAGTGTTGGAAGTTTGACTGTTATCGTTGTATTAGCTATAGCCTTGGAGAGTTTTGGAATGAGTCCGGGTGTTTGTCAGAGTGCGCTGTTTTATGACTTTTAGTAGTGTTATAACATAATAGCTCTTTAAATAGATTTCCTTTAAAATGTATGTTTGTTAAATAAACTATATTTTTAACAATTTGTGCCTTAAAAATGGACGATTAAATCATTCTAATGTTTGATACTGTTTTCCTAATTTTGTTGCAATGTTTTCTACTGTATATTCACCTTGTAAAAAATGACTTGTTCTCTCTTTCTCTGTAATTGCTTTCTTCCTCATTATTTTTACCCTGTCTCCCACCTCTAGTGTTGGATACATATTTTCTTTACTTGCTTTCACTGATACATTCAATGTTGCTTTAAACTCATTCTTCTCTTTCCTTGCTTCATTTGGTGTTAGTCCTGTTGCACTATGCACATGTTTATTACAAGTCAGCATTATTTCTAATATGTAGTCAGTCCATTGTATATTCTGCTTTCCCTTCTTCTCATCATTTTCAACTCTTTTGAATAGTTTATCCTTAAATATCCTAAAAATCTTTCAGCGAAGACAGGATGTCCTCTTGCCCTCAATGCCTTCACCATCAGCACTTGCTATACCTCTTTCATCATCAGTATACAAAAGTTTGCACGTCTTTCCCATTTTGTGTAAGCCTTCCATAGTTCCAGCAATTATGGCAGGTGGGGTTAAGCCTTCCATAGTTCCAGCAATTATGTCAGGTGGGGTTTTACTCTTTATTGGCACTACCACAGCATATTTACTCAGAACATCTATCATTACTAAACCCGCTCTAAATTGTTGTGTTGCTTCAATGTCATCAGGTAAAATATATATATATGTCAAGTTGGTAGGTATGATCATTATGAGGTGCTACAAAACTGTTCTGACCTCTGTGTTTTTTCTTTATCTCAACATTTTTTCTTTAAAAAAATATTCAACATCAAACCGTTTTATTTCAGATTTTTTTGCATCTCTTAAAGTTGTTGCTTTACTTCCATATTTTCAAAAATAATCAGTGAGCACTACAATTACAATACTTACAGTATGGAGTGCAATTATCCACAGAATGGCTCAGTGTATTGTCTAGTCTTTGTGCTGTGAAGTCTTTTTGATAATTTGCCTTGCTTCATTTCAATATAAGATTTTATTCCACAGTGGGCACAACAGCCATGGAAATGATTCAAACATCAATGTTCATTGATATAGTTGTCTTCATCTATTTCTCTATCAGCAACTTTATCCTGTTTTTTGTGTCCTTCAATCTTGTTTTTTTAATATCCTATTACTAAATTATTGTGCATCTCTTCATCTGCGTTTTCATTCTTGAAAAATATACATTGTTAAAATCCCTTGCTCTTGTGATACTGCACCACAACCATTCTCTGCTTACTAGATATGACTTTTTGCCATTCATGTATTGTAATGTTTCCTCCTATTGATGTCCCCTGTCTGCTTGGGCCGCCAGATAGAGGAACCAAAAAAAATGAAAAAGAAAAAACACATTTCAGAACTCTTTCTGCAGAAGCCCCAAGTTCAAAGACCTCTGGATGTTTTTTGTTCTTTTGTTTTTTTGGAGACCCAAGATTCCCAAACCTCTGGAAATTTGTAGTCTTTTGTATTTATGAATACTCAAAGCATCTGGTCATATCTGAAATGTCTCTATCTGGTGCAAAATTTCCAGAGGTTTGGGAATTTGGTGGTTCCAAAAAACCTGGGGGTTCCAAAAAACCAAAAAAAAACAAAAAAATCGAAAAAAACAAAAACAAAAACAATTTTCCAGAGGTCTTTGCACTTGGGGCTTCTGCAGAAAGAGTTTTGAAATATTGTTTTTTTTTTGGATTTTTTTTGTTTTTTTTGGTTTTTTGGAAACCCCAAATTCCCAAACCTCTGGAAATTTGTATTTTTTGGTATTTCTCAATACTCAAAACATCTGGTCCTATCTGAAATGTCTCTATCTGTTGCAAAAGTTACAGAAAAACATCTGCAAATCATTGTCTCTATCTGGTGCAAAATTTCCAGAAAAAAACATATGCAAATCAATGGAAAACCGCACTCTCAGGGACACCCGTTCTGGAATTTGACTTGACTGTTAGCTATATGATGAATTCCCTACTTGAGCAAGTCATTAAGTCATCTACCTGCGTCTACCTGCGTCTTTCGCATCGCACAGCGAGCTCGAACGTTGCGACTCGTTGCGACTCGCGGCGCTGCTCCTGCAACTCCGAGTCGTTGTACTCCTGAGGACAGGTGGAGTGGGATGTAGCGAGTGGCTGCTTTCTCCTTGGCAGTGGATGGTTCCAGGGTGCTTGGTATGAAAAGGAACAGAACATGGACATCCAAGGGGCGATGCCATCCACTTCCAGAGAGTATATGGAATCGGTCTAGCCCGGAGTGGCTCTTCGAGGTCTCTAAGCCCCATGGAGTGACGATCTGGAGGCCTGGAAGCAATGTCATTCGACCCTATAATTATAGTCTCTAGCTGCATCTATGACAACTTAGCATGGCATTGGAGATGGGAGGAATGCTCTTTTGGGACCGAAAGCCACGAAAACGGATTTCCTATATACTGTATACTATAGATTATACTAGCGCAGCATATATACCAGCTAATTGCTGTACTTGACATACATTCCGTACATCATATACGGTGCTTGTCCAGGGTTGGATGTTCGAATCACCTGCGCCCCATCTGTGGTGCCCCTGGGGCCCCCCCACCGCGAGCACGTGCGCGTAGCGATCACACACGCCCAGGCGGGATCCCTGGATACCGCCTGCGGCGAGGAAGGTGCGCTCCGCGGCGGCGCGCCAAGTAGGCGGGTAGAAAGAGATCTTTCCAGGGACTCTCCAAAACCCTATGAACGTTGAAGGTGTCCATGCATTATTTAGTGTAATTTCTAAAACATACCCAAAACCATCCAAAACCAAGTGTGCCTGGCTTGGTTTTGGGGTTGAAACGCCTGGTGCTTGATGGTGTTCAACTAAGCTCTGAGTTTGATACTCTCTTTACGGTAGCGGGTAGCGACATCTTCCGCATCCAATGCCCACGCAACACTGAACCCAAAACAACTGGACAGATGGTTGGACAGATTGAACCTTCCGCTCGTCCTGTCTTGAAGAAACCTCCAGTGCCCTCAAAATGCATTCCCTATCGACTATCATTCACTGACCCTGCCATGCACTGATCCGCCTCTACTTTAAGGAAAACACGTCCGAGCCGCCCCTGAACCCGCCTGAGTCGGTGGCGCAAAAGGTCGCTCTCAACCTGCGATGTCAGGGTCGCACGGAAGGACTATCTCGTCAGGGTCGCAGAGGTGAGTCATCATGTGTCCATTTACATCCTTTTCAAGGTCCTTGAGTTCTTCAACTGCCACGACCCTCGTGGATGTCACTGGACATGTCGACCTGGACGCCGGCCGCACATCCTGCGTGCTAACTTCCAGGCATGAGCCCCAAGACGAATGCATCGGGGGGGCACGCCTGACGTCCTTTAAGACCAGGTAGGAGTCCCCGTACTGCATCGCCGAGGTGACGCCTGCCGCGCGACTCGCATGGGGTTGAGATAGATAGATAGATAGATGGATGGATAGATAGATAGATAGATAGGTAGGTAGGTAGGTAGATAGATAAGAATAGAATAGAATAGAATAGAACAGAATAGAATAGAATAGAATAGATTAGATTAGAATAGAATAGAATTTAATAGAATAGAACTCAATAGAATAGAATATAACAATAGATTAGATTAGAATAGAATAGAATAGAATAGAATAGACAGAGAGAGAGAGAGAGAGAGCCATTGGCGGGCCAAAGCTAGATGGAGCTTTGGTAGCTCTATCAAGAGGAGCCAGTTGAGTTCTTGCACCCAAACGAATCAAGCAAGTTCAGCAAGTTCAGCCTGGCTCAAGGGGTATGGATTGGGATGTTTCTTCCCGCTTCACCAGTACCTTCCCAGACCTCACAGGTTCCGCTCCCCTCATGTCCCGCACCTCGGTAGTCGTTGGTCACGTTGAGGGCTCCATACTTGCAGCGGTCGAAGGGCTTGGCCGATTCATAGGAATCTCCAAAGAGCGCTTGCTCCCAGCCCTTCCTGCGATCGAATCGATCAACCGATCGATGGATCCATAAAGGGACGAATGCAGATCATCGATATGTGGTAAGTGACGGTTTCTGTGGCCCTTTTCTATCCCAAATTGAGGTGGTTGAATGGGTGAAGGTGTGGGTTAGAAACCCAATCTGAATTGGTCAGCTGCATTTGGGATGATTTCACCCACCCTTTAAACAGCGTTATAGAGTGGGATGCAGAGGAGTCAAGCTACCTGGAAAGTGCATTCAAAAGTTTCTTCCAATTTCGACGTCAGGAAGAGCTGAAACATGTGGGTGTAAGTCTACCTTCAGTGATTCGAGTCGTCCCAAAGATATATACTATATTGATCAATATTGTACAATCAATATATAAACCTTCCAAACCACCCAGAAGTCAGGTTTACAAAGCAAGTGATTGCACGGAAAAGCACGCATCAACCCGCCCAGCATGTGATGGACCCCTCCAAAAACCCTACCCGCGACATCACCCTCATCCTGGTCTCGTTGCCATCGTCAATGGCGCCGCAGCTGGTTTTCGTCTCGAACTGGTTCCGGTAGTACTCGTCCGTCTCCAAGAATTGGCCCATACTGCAGGGAACTCTTCGCGTGTGTAACAAAGCAAAGACTCGGTAGTGATCTGTAGTGGGAATGGCAAGGTGAGGCTCCCAGTAACCGCTGCGTTGAAGGTCGAGGACCCAGTGGTTGGCAGATACCCCTGCTACGTAGATCCACACGTGCTCTGGAGCCGCTGGTGAACTAGCTGGATCCGGAAGGGAACAAGGCTGTGCAAGCAGTTGTCTGCAGTTCCTGCATGTACCCGTATACCAACCATCACCCTTCAACTCGGCATCATGCGGCACCTTATCACGGATCGATAGGTGCATCCTTCCCCACCTGCATCTCCACGCGTTTGCAGATCTTTACTGCTAGCTCCACCCACCACGTCGTCCCACCTCGATACCGCCGGCGCCATCGAACCGAAGACACCGCGCTGCCGCGCTGCCGCCTCGAACTCCTCCCCGCCGAGGCGCTTGTCCAAATGGACGTGGATCACCAGCGGGGCCAGATCCTTGACCCAGCTGAAGACCGCCTGCAACTCGTAGTCACCTGGGCGCCACGAAATAGACTGGCTGGGCCGGGCGAGTCTGCTGAGGCGGCTGAAAGCGAGTCGTCTGCTGGATGTTCAGCATGTGACAGAAGAAGAATTGGGGAAAGAAACAGAGCGTGGTTCAAGCCTAGGAAATGCACCAAACACCCATGAAGACCTCCGAACCTTTGCTGGTTGCGTTCCCTAATTCTTTTTCTTGGGTCGGCAAGGTAGGGAATCAGGGAGTACTGAGCAGCTGCCATATCACCTTGAACTTCCAGTTTTGACAACCAAACGCAGCGTACCAGTCTCTAGTATTCAGGGCGCACTTATATGTCGTTTGCTTGTAGACATCTGGACGACCAATGTTTTGAGATCTTTTAGTGAATTGGGTGGATCCAGTGAATTGGGTGGATCCCAAGCATTATAAAGTATAAAAAGACTTCACGAAGCCTTAAGTGTCATAGCATGGGTTCATCCCACAATTGAGACTCTTGCACCTTGCACCTTCATCTCAACCCGTTAGAGTCAGGTGATGAAGCTCATCCAATGGGTGACGGTCTCCGGGTGCGAGTCGACAGTCGACAGTCTGCATCTGGTAAAGGGAATGCCACACATGAGGGGCGGCTGCAAACAACTTGACAATTCAGGAGTGTTTCTTGTAAGAATTGGTGTGTCAAGCAATCGGCCAGGAGAACCTTTTTCATTCCACAAATATTAGCTGTGAGGTTGAAAGCTACTTAGTTCAACCATCCCAGCGAGGCAAGGTATCAGCGGACATGATGACTTAAGCGGGTTCACTCCTATAAACCACATCAGTCCTGATGTGTGAATACCTGGAGCCGAGTTCGACCCACACCAGCCGACTTTCGTCGTTCCCGGTCGGTAAAGAGGTCGAGAGGGCGAAGAGATGTCGAGAGACTACATCAAAATCTGAAGGAGCTGCCAAGATGCCATAAGGATTTCACCAACTATTTGAGACCCTGCCATAATATTGAAATGCTCTTGGACACACCAGCCACATCATGACACGACCACGATAGCCCCCAGATCTGCCGCCCAAGATGCCATAGCCCATGCCTTCAAATCGACCCTTCAGGTCTTCGAGGGCATTCCTGCGATCGGACGCTACGCTACGAACGGAACAAGAACGCTACGTTTGGGGCTCCTGGCCTTACTACTAGGAACAAAGGACGCTACGAAGGTAACAGAAGCTACTCTTTGGGGGGCCCAAAGACGTCTTCAGGGCAGGTCTGACCGTCGTAACTCCATATCGAAACCCGAAGAAACAGCGCCACTGGATCGAGCCGCTGCATGGTCGACATGTCTTTGACAACCCGAACCAACAGTGGATCTGATCTGGTCCGTTCTTGTGCCTGGGATATAAAGCAAGGCTTCCTGCAATATACATAGGGTTACATTAGCTATGACTCACAAGCAGCTGGAGTGCTGAAGATCCTCAGTTTGACCTGTCAAATAGGAAGCCCAGACAGATTCTGCTGCTGAACTCTTCTCCATCCTGCTGAACTCTCCTAGTCTCCATCCTCTGATAATTGCCTTCGGCCACATTGCAAAAGCACTTGCCCAGTCCCAAACACTATGGGGTCGTGTACCACAATGACTACTACTCTGAGCATCCTTTACATTCTTTGGCACCCTATTCATCTTCAGGGTCACTATAGGTCAAATACCAGCCTACTTTCACCCCTCTTCAACCACTCCAATGTTGCTAAATACACCATAAATACCCAGCTGGACATGGCTTCTGGACCCGGGTGGTATTCTATTCATCTTCAGGAACTTCATCATCTTCCGCCGCTCTGGGCCAAGCATCTCGTGACTTAGAGTCGCTTGCTGTCGCACAAGTGCCAGCGCCGCACGCTGACAACTCACTAAGCCCTGCCAATCGCACAGGTCGTGGTGGGAGACAGGACGCTGGAATTTTTGGGTGGGTGGGTGTATTAAATAGGGAGACCTTTTCCAAAGACCTGCAGTTCTAGAACGAACAGTAGCATACACCAAAGCAGAACATATGCCAATTCGCATCCATGTTCACTTCGGATCATGGTACCGAAGGAAATGCTCCTCTGAGCCGAATGTCCGTCGCCGAATGTCCGTGCGCAGTCCAGGTCAAAAACATTTGAGATTCCCAGGCTTTCTTGGCTGGGCCCATCTCTACTCCGAGCATGGATTGGGGCGCACTTCTTCACAATATGGTCATGACTCATGACTTCCAGTAAACGTCTACTCTGTATACAAATGGATTGGACTTCCAATAAACTATATTCTGACTATATTCTACTATACTACCCTATAGGACGTCTTTTTCGCGCCGACCTGAATGGATTGGAGCTCAGACATGGGGAGGAGCATCTTGTAGAGCGCTTGCGAGTCATCCAAGATGCCCACCTGGACAGAGTCAACAAAACGAACGGCCCGCTTAGCTTGCTCTTCGTGTGGTTTTGAAGAGCGGATGGGGTGGTGCCAAGACCAATTCTTGGGACACTTCGAGATGACCTGAAACTATTTGGAGAAGTTGCTTCATCTCTCATCCCACAAGAACAGCCTTCGCCCCACAAAAGGACTGACGGATAACCTACCGGGACCTACCGCTGACACCGCCCACCGCTGACACCGCTGACACCGCGTCCCCGGTCCGTCCCCGGTGGCCTCTCGCAAAGCAGCTGCGAGGCTGGTCTCTTCATGGGAACTCAGGATCCAACTGATCGGCACCACCTGGCTGCAGCGGGCAGAGGCAGCAGCGGGCGCTGCCGGTAGGCTGCCGGTAGCAGGAAGGAGGCATGGCTATTTCCACACACTCCAGACTGGCAGACTCGTGTCGACATTGAAGTGGTGTCAGGGATCAATGAATCAATGTCATGTATAACTGTAAGGTATAATACTGCATACATGGAGTGACTCATGGAGTGTCTGGGTGTGCAAATGACATGCTCCTTTCCAAACGCCGAGGATTAAAACACTTCAAGTGGCTTCCCTGTACCGTTCCCAACCACCGGGTTATGTGACCCGGTGCCCTGCCTTTTTGGTAGAGAACATCCAATACACATGACCAGGGGCCTTCAAACCCACTGAAAAAAACTGGGTTCCTCCTCCGAAAATCTGGATGTGGTAGACTGGTAGACGAACACATCTTGTTGATGATGGTTAGGGCCCCTGGTGGTTGTCATAAAACAAGCTTTCTGCTTCCGACGCTTAGTTTTGATCAGGAACACATGACAACTCTTGTCTACCACAAACGGCCATCTAACACTAAGAACGCTGAAAACCTGCAACCGGCTGTTGCCAAATTCCTAGTTGAGACCAGGGATGACAGTGGCAAACATCATTGTTTTCCTTTGTTGACATGAACTGAAAAAGTGAAAGCAAAATAAAGCAAACACAAACACTTTGACCACCTGAACTGCATCATACCTGATTGCAAGAGAATCGGATCTCGCTGAGTAAGACCGGGAGTAAGACCCCATAGGTAATAAGATCATATAAGATCTAATTTGGACTTCCTCCTGTAGATGATCCGCTTGACTGAGATATACTTCACTTACTGCACCTTTCTGAGCGGTCAGACCGGACCTGACAGTCAAAGAGACTTCTTCCGGATTCACCGATGACCATGTTATGAAACCGATGATCATGTTGTGATACCCAATGCAATGAAGATGATACCTTCCCGGAGACCCCCCCGTTTTTTTGGGTGACGCTTCTGAAAAGCAAAAAGCCTAGATGAACCGTCCCGAAACATCATTGATTCATGATTCCCAACCCTCAACTCGAGTAAATTAGTTTGTAAACCCCAAGGAGAACGGCAAAATGGTGGAAACTCTCCTCCCCAAAACTGAAAGCAGTCTGAAAGGCCTTCCTGAAGAACGCCGCTTCGCCCGACTTCGCCCTTCCATCTTCGAAGCTGGCCACCCCCCAAGCCAAGCCCCCACGGCCAGCCCGCCTGGCGAGCCACCCAGTCACTGTTTCCCTTCAGATCCTCAAAGCCGAACTCCAACAAGATTCCACGGCCTAGCGAATCTTATGTCGCCGCATTTCGCCCCCGCACGTGAGGTGAGACCGCGGCGGATTCCGACCCCCGTCCAACACGATGCTTTCTCCATGGTCGAAGCGCATTTCCCCAGTGGTTCACCACGGCACGGGCCGTCGAGCTTGATTGGGTCGTAGGGTGGGTTTTTGGGGGGGTCCAGGAGTGTGATCCCAAAAGCGAGTGGGTCAGGAGGAACTGAATGGATACACGTCGTTTTTCACCTGGGCCAATGCATCAGGTTCATCCTGTCGTCCAACAAAGGTCCATATGTTGGGTAGGCTATTGGTGACCCATTGGATGATTCAGGTAATCTTATATATCTCAATTTATGGCGGAATTCCTGCCAATTGCGCCAAGATCCAAGAACTTAAGTCAACTTTTAAGTCAATTCAATGACCTCCCCACTTCTGGCCCTCAGTTCGAAAGCATTTTTCGGCTTCCTTTTGCACAGCTTATTCTGCACCTGACTCATTCGATGCTTCGCTCCCCCGCCTGAATCCGTGTGGCAGTTCACGGAGAGAACCTGCAGGACCCGTGCGCGGCGAGAACCCCGCAGGGTGCGGACTCTGCTGGTGCCGGTGGGCGCAGCTGACCGCGGAAAATGCTGGTCCTTCCCGATGATGGACGGATGTAGATGATGTAAATATATCGGCTATATCCCATGAGCCAGGTTGAAGGCGGAGGAGGATGGGGCGCGCTTGCAGGCCTTTCCATCTCTAAACTAGTGATCTTCTTGTGAAACCCGACTGCTGCAGGCGTCCTAAGACAAACTGAACAATATATGATGCATGGAAGTTCTTGCCAAAGGTCATTGTCATTTGGGATTGGAACCAGTTCTGAGGTATCACCTCACATGTTTCAACCGGTGGTTCTGTTGTTCCGTAGCAAAACGCGTAGCGTCTCCTTTTGAAACTGGAATGGCTTCTTTCCAGGAAGCAATGACTTCAGTAGCTCATCAATACCTTTGAGGGGGGCCATGAAACAAATGGATAACTTAAGACTTGCAAACAGGCCACCTTCAAATGATATTTCCACAAACCCAACCAGAAAGGCTGGCGTTTTCGTGGTCAGCAGGGGACTTGCACGCATGACTCATGACTCATGACACAACTTCGTTGCCCTGCCAATCAAAAAGAGTAGCTGCGAGCTTCTGCAAGTCTTCAGTGTTCACATGTCCTTTTTGTCCAAACCTTCCAATCCTTCCACCCCTTTTGTATAGTATAGCGTCACATGGAAAGCTGCCCACTGGCCCACCTGGCCCATCTGGGCGGCCCAACATGGCGACATGGGCCCAAACCCAAACCCCCTGTCGACCACACAAGATCACGGCGGCTTTGTGTCAGCCTGTCAGCATATGTCAGCATCCTGGATTTCTTCATGAGTCAAGTCTTCCGAAGATTTCTTTCGATCCAGCTCCAAAAGCCTCACCAAACCAACCCCCCCAATCCGACCCACCCCTGGGCTCCAGCGGTCCGCACGACACGCGGGCTCCAACACACATTTGGCACACTCGACGTGTGGCGCGCGTGTGGCGCCTGGGCTTCTCTCCAACTGCTGGACTTCTGCCCGTTCTTGTAGTAGAAGTGGCTCCGCACCCGGGCGCCCACCTCCACCCCCACCACAGGGCAAACCTCCTTGACCTCGGAGGGGCGGTGGTAGTGGAACCGAAGGAGGGATCCTGGGGAAGTGGAGGAGTTCATATTATTTAGGTTGAGTTCTAGCAGTAGTGCATGTATGGATGCTTTTTGGTTAAGGTCGAACGCGGTACGAATGGTTGGGTTCCCCCCCACCCTGTCAAAAGGTTAAAAAGACACACGCAGGCTTGTGGGCCCCGGTTCGTGGGCGCCTTTGGACTTGATATGGCTTGATGTAAATGGCCATACCAATCAAACCTGGACGACGCTAAACTGGGTGTCCCTGTTCTACTCAAAGTGAAACAAGGAGTGCGGCTCCTCTCAAACTTATCAACCACCACAAACAAACACGAAAACAAAGACGGCGAGCGGACAATCGACCAAAAGCTCCCCCTTCGACCAGGCACGTCCTTGCGGCTCTCAGTGACGCGCTTCCGGCGCTGCTCAAAGAACTTCTGGACTCCGCCCAGGAAGCCGACCTCAGCCGGTCGGGAGAGAGCAGTCCGTCGCCAAAGGTTGGACCGCAATCCGCCCATGGGACCGCCCGGCGAGTAGGAAACCCTGCTTCCTCCCAGAATGACTCGGTTGAGAGATGTCGATGCGCCACATGACCGTTCAGACTCTCCGCTCGAGATCTGGGTCGCTTCGACGTGCAGTGACCCCAGAAGGATCAAGTAGCCCCAAGTAGCACATAGTAGCACTGACTTTCCATGAGTGAAACTCTCCCCATAATATCCCGTATGCCCTAGTTCGGGTCTCAACAAAGGTGCAAGACTAAGCCCCACTTCAATCCCCCAGCTGCGTCTCAAATCCTCTTTCAATCCGACGCGACGTGGGTCAGACAGGGTGGACATGGCGGACATGGTCAGACCCAGGGGGAAGCAGGGCTCACCAACTTATCATATCATCACAGATCATCACATATAGTCTATCGTGTTACAGTATGAACTTGTCACAAGTCACAAGTTGGCCTGTTCCATTTGTGGAAAAAAAAAACTAAGGATTGTTCTTGTTATAGTTCAGCTTGGTCTGTTGTGATGGGTTTTCTTTGTCCGTGGGGAGAACCTGTCGCACAACAAGGTCTACACTCCCAGGGACCTCATTCAAGCATTGGATGCAAAGGAAGAAAACCTATCTAACAAAAAAGCATTTCATGTATATCATTACGAATATTACATCTTCTAGAATTCCACTTTCAGGTTCTACATAAAGCTACATGCGCTTTTATTCTTTTTCTGAACCATTGTGCCAAAAACCTTCGGCGACCACCTCGAAGCGTCGCTGGGCGGTTTCTGTTCAGGTGACAAAGTTCTGCAACTCTGCCAGGCTCACCTCAGCGACGGTTGGCTCCGTCCCAGGCGCCCATCAAGCGAGTTGAACGTGAGGTGGGACGCGCGCGGTGCGGGCGCGGTGCTTGAGGGGTTCGACCAGTCAATCCAGCAAGAGAACTTGGAGTATCTATAGAAGTCCCATGAAATGTTGGGGTCCTAGAAGTTCAGCTGGGCACATGTTTGGTTTGTTTTGTTGAATTCCGTGGTCTGTTTCAGATGATGAATCATGGATGATCCCCATAGACCTAGCCTGACTTCTGCCGGTTGCTGTGTTACTATCCTTGTGACATGGGTGAGAACAAAGTGGAAAAAAGGGAGCCTATGCCTACACGGTGATGTGAGGAGGTGACAGGTGTAATATCATCTGCGGTCTTAAGGTCCAAACCTTTCCTAAAACACCTTCCTTTGAAACCATTTGGACCTTAAGTTAGGAACCATTAAGCATTCTGGAACCTTATAGTTCCTTCCTAAAACACTTTCCTTTCTTTTTAAAAAACCCATTCTGGCACTTTCCTTTGGCTCGCTTGATCTGAGATAAGCCATCCTGGATGCCCAGTTCTATCGGGCTATCACTGATCCCCCACAAGAAAACACAAAAAAATTAAAATAGTGGGGGATCAACGAAATACTTACAATAGTGAGTGGGGGATCAACTATATGGGATAACGAAATACTTGCCTTTGCCTCAGGCCAAGGACCAGTGTTACGGAGTGTTCACCACGGTTCTCGCGTTCGTTGCCCGCCGTGCCGAGTCGCGGTGCCATCTTTGTTGACGTCGATGCCTCGCGACGACGATTAGTCATCGCGTGGTTTCTGGAGGAGTCCTTCTACATGAAATCCACCCTCATTCATCATCCGCGGTGTGTTTAAAAGCACTACACCTTCAAGAAAGTAATAAAGTAGTAGCATCTCTTTACTTTTTAAGTCCTAGTAGCATCGTAGTAGTTTGGTAGTCCTCATTCATCATCCGCCCTTTCAAATCCACATGTTTTCCTGCGTTTCGAAGCCCATGGATCCTTGGATTCTTGCAGGAGTGTTTCGATTCCAGAGGTGCCCCTTGGGTTTATGAAAGAACATTGAATATTCAAAAGAAGGTCATGAATAATGTATGTCTATAATATGTCTAGTCTATATACATGTATCTATCTGGTGATTCATGGCGCCGGTCGCTGAGTCGTCACCCGCTGATTCTCCAGGTCACTGTTGGATTCCTCTGCACTCCAGCCCAAGTAGGCGCAGAGGAACTTGAACTCCTGCAAATCACGAGGTTGATCAATGGACATCCTGAAAATCAATCATGTGGGACGCTTGATGCATGGACATGAAAACTTCCCCCAAACACACGCACACACGATCAAAAAGCATCCACGCTTCGAAGTGCTTTGGCTGGATCCTCCGCAACATACGACGGGTGTGAGTTACCAAAAGACGATCGCCCCACCGCTTTCGGAGGCACCCAGCAGTGAAAGCAATGTCTGAAAAAGAATCTGTGAAGCTCATGAGCTTGCGTTTAAAAACGAAGGAACAAAGCCAAGCTACAGTCATCAGCTATATAAACACTTCCCATAAGAACGCTTAGCTTCTTTCTGCATCACAAATGGTCTGGTCAATCTGGCTTTGTTGCTAGTTCTTGCTCGCGCCTTTTCCTGCAAATCCCAGTAAGATCGAGCAAAAACTCTCGGCAAAATCCCAACAATCGCCTTCCATCCCCTTCCCTGCCGAAAGATCAGGCAACTCGTCTTCCACTCCCATCAGCCAGTACTCTCGCCCAGTACTCTCGCCGTACCCCATCCCCTGCCGTCGGACCGCTTTGCGGTCCTGTCGTTCCAAAACGCCGGAGGAATCCTTATCGAAGTGCTTGAAGGCTGCGGCAATCCTGGAAACACCGCAGAAGTGAACACCGCCAATCCTGTGCCAATCGATTTCACACCCCCAGGGTTGCGGTGCCTGTCATTGGGTTGGGGGGCGAAAGCGGTACAGGAAATGGGTGGAGGCTTCTTCTTCCGGCCTCTTCGTGGCCTTCTTCCAGCTGATGTGAAGCCCTGGAGGAAAACCAGGCTGATTCGGATGTGAGGCGTTGCCTTCATCACGCCGAGTGAAGCCGCTTCGATCACGTCTTTCCCACATCACGTGTTTCACTTTGTCTGGGACGACTTGCAGGAACAGGGCGAATATAATAGGGGTGCTTTTCCAGGTTGGTTTGGCTTCGTGGCACTGAAAAAGAGAAGGATGGACTTTTCATGAGCTTCCTTCTTTTTTCGCGTTGACCTATGTAGGGAACTCCTAACTGAAGTCTTCAGTCTGGGCCGTATGCGTGGCGAAAGAGGTCGATTCCGGCTCTTCTTCCACGATGTTTCCTAGTTCTATCCAGTTCTGCCTACTTCGATACTATACTCAAGAAACGTAGAAACAGGAAAGCCCAGAAGCCCTAACCCAGGCTCCTCAAAGCTGGAAACATGCCCCCGTGACACTCAGGATCACTCAGGGGGATAGCAAAAAGGAATCCACTTGATGGTGTTGAAATCAATGCCCGCTGAGTGCATTGTCCTCTTCTCATCTTCGATGATGGTGTTGTTGATCCGCTCTACTAAGATGGCTGTCTCCTCAGAAGCAACTGAACGTGCATTCTTCATGTTTCTGTGTGCCAGTGATACCAGGCATGAGTCATAGAGACGTATAGAGACTCAGGACAGTGCATTGGCTCGGTCGATTAAGTTCTGGCGGCTGAGCTAGCAACCCGTACTGTGTAGGGATTGAAGTCTATTTGAGGCACCAAAGGCCCCGACACATGCTGCATTCATTTGTCTTGACTTTCGATGGTGAGGTCATCAACACATGTGTATTTGGCATAAACATCCGAATAAGCTAAAACCAGTCGAATCCTTCCAAACAACGAGGCCTGTTCTGATTGCCTTTGGTGTTGCCAGCCACATTGGCTTTACTTGCACCAAGGACTGTCTTCTGGTGCCCCAAGAAGGCTGAAGCAAAAGACTCTATTCTTGAACATTTGAATCTGCTTTTCGACCGTCAAGTTCTTCCAGGCGCCTCATACTTCTTCTCCGCAAAGGATTGACTGCAAAGCGTGACCTCGGAGGAGACGGATCCACCAGCAGGCCGTTTGCCAGCCCAAACCATGTGCAAAGAAGCAGGCCGGGCAAAAGCGAAGGTTTGGAAGAAGGTAGGAGAGTTGCAATGACAGAATGGTTTTAGCTTAGAAGATCTATAAGAAAATCCATACCAACACATCTCAAACAATAGAAAGTGTTTCGCACCAATGATTAGAGTTGAATCTTCCCTGATATTACAGTTGTGTGCCACGATCTTCCTCTCTCTAGAAAGACTTTATCTTGTAGCTCCAGCACAAACACCACTAAACACCACTAAACACAACCAATCCTGGATGCAAAAACCTGTTTCACCGCCTGGGCACAAACCTGGATTCTCCTTCCCTTCCGGACCGGGTGCCCGTACAAAGGAGCAGAGAGGATGCCCTGTGGAGGGATCTGCCAGGTACGGTCGCGTCTTCAACAAGTCCTGTCGCCCGACGCACCGGTCGTCTTCCACGAGGACCGGCGGGCTCACGACATGATCGGACCATGTCAGGCAGCTCGGGCGCCACTCTTCGGGGTGTGGCAGGTGCTGCTGGGGGTCGAAGGAGATGAGTGGAGCATGAGTGGAGCTGCTGGGAGTTTCGACCGCCGATCAGTTCGGAGCATGGGTTCAGGTGCGGACAATGTCCCCATTTCGGACTCGTTTTGGTTGTTTTTATCACTCCCATTCACCTGGTCTTCCAAGTGCAAGGATCCGAGGATCCTGTGCAGCAAGGCAATTTCAGTAAGTCGACATGTCAAAAAGCAAATCATCTTTTTCCCAGCCACTCATATCCACTGATGGTGTTAACCATACTGAACTCGCAAAAAGATCATATGCCCCCAAGCTCTTTGGAAAGCAACCAACGAACGCGAAATTCACTTCCCTACACTCTCCGGACGTGCTCGGTGTCGTCGTTCACCGTTGTTCGACCACTTCGTTTCTCCGTCGTCGTGCCATGCTTCGTCGTGGCTCCGTCCTGGAAGATCTTCCAGGATTTGGCCGCCTCCTCAGGCATCTGCCTCGAGACGACGAAGCGAGCCGACGAAGACGGGGAGGAGAAAAAGGATCGGTTTGGGACGCACAACGTGCATTGTTTGGTCGGTTGACACATGAAACACAGCACAGAGTCACAGAGCTTGTTTTGTTGAGGGGAAAGTGCTGGCATTGGTTTGGTGAACGAACAGGTTGCATGGTGGATACTCGTACTTCTCGAAAGGATAACTTACGGCAGCTGAATGCTATGTAATGTACAAACCTAAAAACAATTCAATATCTCCAAGGCCTCTACTCTTCCAACGACTGGATGTGTTTGAGCAAGCTGCGCTAGCTAGCTGATCTCGCTTTTTCATGCGACAAAACAAAAGGACAGAACAAACAAACGTTTTCCCACTTTGCCGGACTTAAGCTGGACAGCCACACCAGCCAAGGTCCTTACACTTTTTCAGGTGTGTGTTATGATTGGAAGAAAACTTTGCGAAACTTCTCTTCGGACATATGAGCGACGTGCAAAGCCTTTTTTGTGTTGTAGTGTGCACTCTTCCCAAACAGTTCAACAACATGTAATTACTAAAACCTCGTGGTTATTTCTTGTGAAGCCTATCGTTCCTGAAGGTTTTCCCTCATGTTAACTCAACTTGGTCTTCCCAACCTTAGTGATGCTGCCTTCATGGGAGCTTGCTCATGCAGGTGCTCATGCTGCCATGATCCTCCGGGTCCGGCGGCTCCGGTCGACCAAGGTGCTCTGCATCTGCTGGTGGCGGTGGTGGTGCCTGACCGCAGGTTTTCCCAGAAACCGCAGGTTTACATCACTGTAAGGCAGTCAGACTTCGCACCGAGCACGGCACAGCCACGGATGAGCGATGGCTTGTCGTTTTGGCTGTACTTCAAGGGCCATCACAGGCGTAGTACATCTTGGATGTTCAACGGTCGGTCTACCTTTCAGCCACTCCTCCGCTTCCAGTTGACCACTCTCCAAAACCCAAAATCCCTGGACTGCGCAGCTTGAACCCCGGAAGGTGTGCGCAAGGAACGTCTGGGACCTCGAGGTTTTGGATGCGTCAAAGCATTCAAACTGCCCCAAGACCACCATGCCACAGACCATCCTTGGGTGAGTCTCCACTGTCGGACTCCGTCTTAATCGACACTCCTAAAACGGTTGGTCGACATCATCAAGTGGAACCACACCCGTCAAAGGGGGCCTACACTCCGACTGATTAACATGGAAGTGGATGGCATCCTCTGTTTGTAAAGGAAGTCTTCCACGGTGCCATGCCATCCACGTAACCATGTGATGTGTTCGTCAGAGTGTAGTCGGTTTTGATCTCCCCAAGTTTCCACGCGCGCCTGCGCTTTGGCTTCCTTAGCAGCCTTCGCCTACGTCGCGAGTGCAAGACAGGACTTGTGCAAAAGATAGCTGAAAACAACCAAATCCTTATGTTGAGTCATGCACTGATGCCTGTCTGGAGATTCAATTTTGGGATCCGTTCAAGAATCAATCAAGCAAAGGAGGTCATCAACAAGTTTGGATCACAGAACACAAAATGCCTGTCAAGTCGAAGAAAACACTCATGAAGAACCAGTGACCAGTTATGGTGTTGCTTTCCGATATTTCTTGGTCCAACCTCGGCAAAACGAAACTCTTGAAAAAATCATCATCCCTACCTACTCATCCTAGTCGTGCAAGCAATGAAGGGACAGTCGTGCTCTCTAGTCATCCTAAGGGATTTAGAGTTCTTCTTCTGAGGGATCCAGTGCTCCCATGGTCACCCGGTGCGATCGTGTGCTTTCCACACGCCCGGAACACATCCTTCGGATATAGTAGATAGAAGATGGGAAATGCAAAAACAGTGGGAGACTGGTCATGTGTTCGATTGTTTTCGGATTGGTTCATATTCTATCTACTCCCACGGCCGCCTCCCAGCAAGGCCGTCTGCCTCACGTCCCAAGGCCGTGCGAAAGCTGAAAAGGAGACACGGCCATCTTCCTGATGGATTCAAAGCTCATTCTCCACCGGTGGGTTTGCCCCCCCTTCCAACCAGAGGTGGAAGAAAATCACCATGTACATGTATTAGACTGTTGATCAATAACCCCCCCTTTAGAAATCGAAAACCTCTCCATTTTGGGGGGTGGTTTTATTCATCAACAGTCTACAAGTCGGTCAATCCGTTGGTCAACCTGGCAGATCGTCCGCCTCTCTAACCGCCCGGGTCCCGTCTTCTGGTCCCGGGTCCGGTGCCTCTGCTAAGGGTTTCACGAGTTTCATGTGGTCTTCAGAGAAGAGCCACTCCAAGAACTCTGAGAAGGTGGTCTCCTCAGTGACGTCCAGAAGTCCTCTGGACGTCCTCTGCGCGAGTGGCTTTTCGGGAGTCACTTAGTTTGTGTCGGACTTGGAAAGGGACTAGACAACATCTGAGAAGGCCATGACTTGTACCATGTTTGAGTCAGGTCACCGGCATAACATGAAGTACAAGCAGCACCCCCTTTTGAACGCACTGAGCCACATTGTCCCGGCCCTTCTCGAGCATGTGCGCTGTGACCATCTCGTCAACCTGTCTTCGACCGAGGGACCGAGGCCGAGGGGATGGAGCCTTGTTACAATGACCAATGCACACCGGTGTTTTTGGCCAGTGCAACCTACTCTGCAGCATGCTCAGCAACTCAACAACAACTCAACTAGCCTTAGAATGGCTCGGGTTTAGCATGACTATGCATGATTTGGCCGTTACACCTGCAGGAAAAACCATGGGTTTTGGATGATTCCTTTTCACCGAATGGCTCGGGGAGAGTTCGTGCTTTCAGCCGTCGCAGTGTCCAGCCTATGTTGATAATGTTAGCTTCAATATGAGTGTCAGGAAAACCTGATCCAATTCTAAGCTTTCACATTGAGATGCCAAGAGGACAAACACCCCAGTTCTGAACAGACTCGAGGTCAAGCTACATGCTCTCGGGGATGTCTGGGGGGGCCTGGTTTTGACCCATCCCAGTTGAGCTCATGTCAAACCGCCGAACGCTGAAGGCACACCGCGAGTCGCGAGTGGCGAGCAGGGTCAGCAGTCAGCGGGGGCGAGGAGTGACCAGTAGCGACCGGGGCGCCGGTGCATTGTCATAGAGCATGGACCAAAGAATACATATTGCTTAAATCACTTGGACCATGACGCAGAAGTTACTTGGTTTCAACTGCAAAACAATGTGGATAGGGCCCATGTATACCAAACCCAAACACTCCATAAGACTGCCATATATGCCGATCTGGGATGGTTTTGGGGGTCAATGTAGGCATATATGGCAGTCCCATGGAGTGTTTGGGCAATATTGCTTTAAATCGCTATATGTACCAGGACCGAAACCAAGTCCGGTGGTTTTTGGACACCCCGAATCACCTCCTTTTGATGCTATATTTATAGAATTTTATAGAGAAGGTCCTGGTAGATATAAGAACGACAGGAGGACTAACAAAAACATCCCCAGCCATGTCACAGTCGTTCCTGAATCGATCCTAGCCACATCTTGCCGCCAATGATGCACTATTTCTTGCTTCATGACGCTCCACTTCGTTAACCCCCCTTCCGTTCTGGAGCCTCCCTGCTCCGCTCACCCCCCTCCACCATTGGCGCTCTGCCCTCGCCTGCGCAATCGCGAGGCTGGGCATGATCTGCCGTAGCACCAAGGCCAACATGATGGGCGTGACCGCATCCTCCATCCCCACCTCGGTGACTCGCGGTTACTCGTTGCGCAAACGGGCAGCTCCTGGAATGGAATACCATTGAATACGGTACGTATTGAATACTGTACTTGCTGCATTTCGAGTAACATTGGGACATCTGCCTGACGTCACTCGATTCTTTTGGGGGCCGCACGTTTCTTCCGTTCTCGAGTGAAACCGGGCTTCTACCACCGAGGGCGTTCCTCCCGTCCGTGACTCACAGACCGCCGGCGTTGGGGTGCTGGAGCAATCCAGCTTGTAAATTTTTATTTGCAAAGAAATGTCTAGTTGGCTGATCAAAACATATTAGTCTATTCATGAGTGGTCTCTGATTAAAACACATGGAATCTGCAGTAAATATACTGTAAGCCAGAAAGGCCTGTCAGCTTCGTATCAGACATTAATCAGAATAGATCAAGATTGCCAAAGCCCTTCACGAGAACGAACGATACAGCAAGAAAACGGATTGAACCAGCACCACGGAAAGGGTGCCCATTAATAGCGCCCTGGAGGTTAAGGGGTGTCCATAAACCACCCCTTGGGGGTCCTGGAATGGATTTATATGATATAAAGACAAAGGCGACATCAAACTGCTTAGCTGTCCAAGGTTCCCTCCATTGGAAGACTCTTGTCCTCCAACAAGTATAACTATTGTGTGTATTCATTTTTCGGGATTCCGTTCTGGTTCCTGTTCAGCTCTGACAGAATCTGGATGTGGAAACATCCGATGGCATCGTGGACCCGACTGAGCAGCCCTGCCATGCTGCCATTGAAGGCTGCCTCGGCCAGAGTCAGAAGCTGTTGACAGAAGCTGAAGCTGCTAGAGTCAGCTGCTGTGTTTGTGGCTTAAGCCTGACCTCGGATCCAGCCTTGGCGCTCCAATCTCTATAAATCTGCCATAAACCTTCCAACAGCGGGAACCGCTGGGCCAGTTCACTGGGCGGGGCAATTGGGGGGCCAGTAGCGCCCAGTTCGGCAGTTTGGCCCAAGTGCCGCGATCTTCGCTTTCTGCTCCGACAGCGCCATGGCGGACGGTGCACACCCCCCGCCCCGACGGCCGTTCTGGAGCGACTTCTGGAGCCGTGGCCGCGGTGGCGGGCAACAGGTCACGACAGGTCAAGAGAATCACTGATCAAGACAGAAGTACACATACTCCCTGTTAGCCTATAGCAGAACGATTCTTCTGTAGTCTTTGCCTTTGGGGTCACACTAAAAATCTGGATGTTTGGTTAAATCATTGCCCAACACTGTTGATTGAAAGGGCAAGGCTTAGCCGCCAGGTGGGATGTTATCATGTTAGAACACCTGTATTTTTTGATGTAAGGCGTTTGGCCCACGACACACCCAGAACTAGCGCTGTTCATGGACCCAAACCTGCATTTCGGACAGCAAAAAAGCACATGTTCTTGCCATGTCAGGTGCCGTTTGGTGTGCAGTTTGCTGTGCGAGGGCCGGCCAATGTGTCAGTGACGGTCGCCACTATCGATCAGAGACCGCGCGCGATGGGACCAGTTCCTCTGCCTTTGAACCAGTTTTTCTGTGTTTTTTCCTAGTAGCTCCGTTCGTAGCTTCTTGTTACTAGTAGTAAGGCCAGGAGTTCCAGCATCCTTGCCCCGTTCGTAGCGATGCCATTCAAAAAACTGAAGGCGGCGACTCTGCCTGTTAAAAAAAACAACACTCTCCCAGGAACCAACGAACCGATGAAGACTCCATCCGAAACGAGCCCCAAACGAACCGCAGAAGTGACCTGGTTTCTCCAAAACAATGTGGATAGGGCCCATGTATACCAAACCCAAACACTCCATGGGACTGCCATATATGCCGATCTGGGATGGTTTTGGGGGTCAATGTATACCTATAGGCATATATGGCAGTCCCATCAAGTGTTTGAAGAACTTTCTCCACCAGCACGTTCGATCTCGAAAGGCCGAACTCTGCTGATCCTGTCTGCTTTCGAAGCCTGGAAGAAGAAACCAATTCTGCCTTAAACAGGAACACCCCTCCCCACCCATACCTAAAGGCTCAACAAACGTCCGATGCTTTGGGGAGTTCGCACGTCTGGCTCCGGGCCGGCACGTCACCTGTTAGGCCTTTCTGACATATAAAGCTCCCGTGCTAAAGCTCTGGGTGATAGGGTGTCTCAAGGGGTGCTTCCTTTAATCAACCAATTGGTCAAAAAACATGGATCCTCAAGTTGTGAAGGTGATGTCTTCATGCCTTCAGTGGAACCGCACGCTGAGAAGGACAGTGGTCGGATTCGAGCTCTGAGCTGAAGGCTATAGAGCAAGACCTGCACGAATAGCTCGCCACTGATGGGCTCGGTGTGCCAACATCGTAAACGCAAGTTGCTGCAAATACATCGTGGGCAAATCAAGTCTTAGTTGAAGCCTTCAAACGAAACAATTGCGCTTCGATGTTGGTCAATACACATTGATTCCCTCGCGGATAAAAGTCCAAAAACTCTTGTAAAGCCCCCCAAACTCTTGTCTGAATCTTTGGTTTGGTCAATAGAGACGTGTTGCACGGAAAACGTGTAGTTTTCAAGACTCTGTGTAAAGGGATGGGTTTAGGGCAAGGCTTCCAGTTGCCTTGGCTCTGCGAGGCCGCATGACTCCCAGCAGTTTTGGACAAGCAATGTCAGCTTTTCAATAATGATGGATACTTGACAACCGCACAGCTGGATACTTGATGCCATTTAGCAACCCCAAGCAGATTCATGTGTCATGCGCAGTGTGTGGTTAAGTCCCGCCAAAACCACCTATTCTCACCTGTTCTTCATCACCGATGGTCGTGTCGGACTTCATCACCGATGGGCTGAGGGGGAAGAGAAGTACTTCAACCTCCATCCGATCAATTCATGACTTGGCACCTTTCAAACCCCAAGTTGGTGACCCTTCTTTTTGGTGCCATGGTGCCATGGTACCACACGAATGACTCGGGTAACACGTCGGTCTTTTCCCAACAAAAAACACTTGGGGCGCACGCAACCCCCCAAGTGATGCCGTCTCCACCGATGCCGTTCGCCCAGCTTCCACGGAGCTGGTCCCTGGTCCCCTCCGAGCTCCGGAGGTTCCACCTGGGATGACCAAACTCGTCGTTCGGGAGCCTGCAGACCACGGAGCACGGACCACGGAGCGCGGTCGTCCAAAAGCGAGGTCTCGGATCCAGAGGCGGACCCAGGGGGTCAAAACCGGGGACACCACATGGCCTGCGGCCATGTTTGACCATTTCTGTTCATGTTTGGGTGGGAAAAACCCAGGGTGTTCCGGTGTTTGGACCCACGGCGATATGTTTGTTTCAGTATAATCACGCGCATGATCTTTGGATAAATGATCAATTCTACACAAAGACCTTTCCGGATGAGAAACACATGATCCCTTCCCTTTGCAGAGCCTCAAGGATATGAAAGATCAACCCTTTGGGTCCATTTATATATGCATGTAGACCCGCATGATGACCTGGTCACAGGCAAACCTTTTGACCTGGTCATAGGCGGAGGTGTCAGAACCCAAGAAGTCTGTCAACTGACGCGCTGGGCCCACACTCGGAGCTCCACCGTCCCGGTGTGCTTCGGAGTCCGGTTTTGATAGGGGGGGTGACCTGCCAAGAGAACCAAAGGACGATGTTCAAACACCAGTGGATTGAACATATTTGGAAAGAAATCAAAGTATTGCTCACAGGTCACCTCTTGAATGCGGGGATCAGGACATCTGCCATAAGGCGTGTGTCTGCAGGTCGCCTGGACTGGACTCCTGCAGGTCTGCCCCCAACGGCCCATCAAGCCTGACCAACCGCATCAGCGGGCGGTCAGACCTGTGCATCCGAACGACTTCCAACTTCGACCGACTCGGGAGCAGGAAGTCCCTGGGAGAAGGCCGGCTTCACCTGTTTCTCCAACCTTTTTCAGCTGTTTTTGAGTGGGGGAAATCCATCCCCCCAAAATGGGTAGGTTGGTGGTCTGAGGTGGACATTCTTTACCAGCCCAACGTGGTTGTACATGGGCGATTGCAACGTGTGGCAACATGTGGCAACTACTATTCCGCACCTACGAGGCTCCTACCCAGGATCCACTGCAGTTTCGAGGTTACTGTTTTAATCTGTTTTATATACACCCTGCAACATGAACATGGAACCTGAAAACCACTGCGTTGCAGAGGAAAATGGTCTTCCAAAGGCCCGTTTGCAGGTTCCATCTTAATTTCCCGCGAATATCTTCGTTTATTGCCTTTAGTCACTTTAGTATGTACAACATATTACAAGGTGCCTTTAGCTGGTGCAAAAGTATGATCCGCGTCAGAGAGGGGAGATGGATGTCCATGTTCAGTTCTGATCTAAGGGAGTTCCAGTTCTTTGCATCACCTTGTCGTAACCATCGGTTGCAAAGAACACCAAGTGGAAACATCTGGCTGTATGATGTATGGACGAGTGTGAAAGACCTCTCAAAACTCGGCTGAGCATTGCCCCAAACAAAGTCACACGGACCTGCACTGTGCCGTGCAGGATCCCCTTTTGAAGACACCACCTGGTGATGTTTGGGTACTTGCAAGCATTTACCTGAGTGCGTGCGACCAAGTCTTTGCAGCCAAGTCCGCGCTACCGACATTCCAGAAAGAAATCGATCATTCATGGAGAAGTCCTTCCTTCTCCTTAAGCCACCTAAGTAAGTGAAATCACCAGGACCCCCAAGGGGTGGTTAATGGACACCCCTTAACAGCTAAGGGGCTATAAATAGACACCCCTTGGAGGGTCCTGGCATGTTGTGTTGTTAAATCCACCAGGATTTATGTCTTTTTCAACAATTCCAGGCTGGGCTCGTACCGCAGGAGCTCATGAGTGGATTGTCCATGGCTTTCCTGCAGAAAGTGGCGGCTTGCTTGCTCATAACGAGACCGCAGAAGAAGATAACGTGGACAAGCTTCCGGTCGTGCTCATACTAGTGCTTGGTGCAATGGTGAGTGAACACCAGTGTTTCATGGTGATAGTCTTGCCCCCTTCTGGCAAAGGCTGTCTCACCTCAGCTGTGGGTTTCAACTGATCGCCGAAAAAGCTTTGGCGATCACAAGTTGGTGGCACTGAATGTAGACAACGACCACATGTGGATATATTAAGTGCAAATCCTTCTGATTCTTGTTTGGTCAGAGTGTGAGCCGATTTCCTGGATTTCGTCAGATGGGAGCTGCGCTTAGCCGCACTGGGCCACATTCGAACTTCAGCAAGCTTTGGGGCAGTTGAAGATTCCCAACCTCTGTTTTGGCACTTAGAGTCAACCGTTCAAGGCCACTCGGTAGAGCAACTTGCTCCAAGCTTTGTCGGAAGGCAGCACCGAAACTGAGACAACGAAGGCCACTTGGAAGAAGGACACCATCCAAGCTCTGGTTGAAATTGTTGCCGAAAGTTAGGCTTTCCAAATCATCTGGCCAAAGCACTCCCTCCAAACGTTGGTTGAAGGCATAGCCGAAGCACAGGCTCCGCAGATTCTTTGGAAGAGAAGATGACTCCAAAGGTGAGTTGAAGCTTGGGCCCAGGGACAAACTTCGAAGGCTCTCTGGAAGCTTCATGGACTCTAAACTCTGGTTGAAGGATGAGCCCAGTGTCAAGCTCTGCAAACAGCTTGGCCACGCAGTCCCTTCCAGACTCCAGTTGCTGCCCCATTCAAATGTCAAGCTCTGCAGTGTCCTTGGCAAGGTGAGATCTCTCAGCTTCTCGTTGAAGTTGCCAGCCAAGGTAAGACTCAGGAGGCTTTTGGGCAGCATTACTTTGCCAAAAGAATCCGTAAACCTCCGTCCCAAAACAATGCTTTGCAGCTTGCTGGGCAGATTGACTCCTTCCAAGCTTTGATTGAAATCGTAGTCAAAAGCTAAACTGCGCAGGTTGCTCGGCAAGGTCACTCGTTCCAAGCTTTGATTGAAGGAGGTGCCAAAAATTAGATTTTGGAGTCTGCTGGGAAAGGTGACCTCCTCCAAACTCTGATCAAAGCCCTTCCCAAGCGTCAAGCTTTCCAAAGTCTCAGGCCAAGCAACTCCTGCTAAACTACGGTTGAACCTGATGCCAAAGGTTAGACCACGGAGGTTGTTGGGAAAGATTGCTCCTCGCACATCTTGGTTAAAGGTCGTGCCAAGAGTGAGATTCTCCAAGCTGCTGGGCCAAGAGATTTCCTCTAAAGGCCTGTTGAATCTAGCACCAGCAGTCAGGCTTTTCAAGCCCTTTGGCAAGGTGAAGCTGTCCCAATGGCCTTTCTTGAACTCATTGCCAAATGCTAAACTTTCCAGACCCTCCGGCAAGGTCACTCTCTCCAAACTCTGATTGAAAGCATTGCCAAAGGAAAGGCTGCGTAAGCTCTTTGGTAGAGAAACCCCTTCCAAGCTCTGATTGAAGGTTGACCCAAACGTCAGGCTTACCAAACTCTTTGGCAAGCTCACTTCCTCCTCAGCTTCACAGTTCATCCCCCTCTTTGCCAACGGCAGGGCGAATTATCGGGGTCCGGATCCCACCACGCATGGGGTCTCACTCGACAAGCCCTGGCCAATGCTCGGCTCGGCCGCGAGAAACCGTTCCGGAAAACAAACAAAGCAAAAAGAAACACGAAAGGGTCGGTCAAGCTTTGAAGCTGCCAAGCTTCCAAAGGTTCTGCAAAATCGGGGCTGAAGATCAAGCTTTGCAAGTTACATGGGAGGTTCTTCACCTGGAGCATTCCATGAACATCCTCCAGGTGTAGCAGACCCTCCAATGCGAACTCTTCATCCTCTACCTGAGGGATCGCAACGACGAAAAAAGGCAGCGAGGGACCTCTGGCATCACCGGTACCTCCGACGCCTTAACAGCACGAATCCATAGCAAATATGCTATCAATGCCTATAGAGATCCAGTCGAACACATCAGGTTCTGAGAAGGTACAACTGGATCCCCTAGGGGGTATACATGCTATATCTATCCATTCCAGGTCCATTCCTTTCATTAAGACCCTTGTCTTCCCAAAGCACGTCCGTTCTCCCGATGTCCCAAAGGTCTCCGTGGCCACCACGGCACCTGAAAGCCCTGTAGGAAGCGCCAAGCCTGCAAGAACTGCACCGGCCTGTAAGCGTAGCACACTTGAGCCCTGGTGCCTGCAAGCAGGCCTTGCTCCTGGCGTGCCACGGCTTGTGCCCGTGTTTGGGTCGGTTCCGATGGACAAAAACGGAGCATTGATTCAGAAACTTTGAGAAACAACAAATGATTCAATTCATGAAAGCCTTGGAAACCAGCAACCAGAAATGCCCTGTAGACTACCTGAAAGAAACAATACTATGAAATACAAAAGAATCAAGTATTATAGTCCTACAGATTGATACATCTTCAATATCGATGAAAGGCATATGTCTGGTCCTTGGGATTCTACCTCCATGTTTCATGAAAGCAACTCCTCTCCTTCAAGGTCTTGTTTAACTCCACTTTCTCGCTTCTCAGGAGCACCGACATCGCGGCACCCCCTTGCGGCAAACATCGCTCGCCCAGGAGTCGTCGCAGCTCGCGTCCTGTCATCTCTTCCGGCACCGGGAGCAGGAAGCGACCAGCGAAGCCCAGCACTTCGAGCTCCACGTGGTGAACAACGCAGGACTCCTGACACCGAGCCAAAAAAAGAACTGCAGGGCCAGGGGAGTGTTGAAAAAGAACCAACGCTGACGATCACGGTGAAATCCATCAGTCTGCTCCCAAATGACTCCCCCTGGAGGGTCTAAAGGAGTCACCGGCCGATGGTGCATCCGTTCCCCGGCGATTGTTGGGACTTCGTGGGGCCGATGAGGTGAGGTTTTGGTATGGGCATGGTGGTGTAGCTGGTGTCAGAATTGCAAGGGTGAAACGGATCAAGCCGTGAAAGTACACAGCGGTCATGAAAAGTCACAGCGGGCACGAAAAGAACGGTTACCAAGTTACCAAACCCAGTGCGTCCCTGGTCTTCGTATGTCTTCGTCTCCTTGTGCAACTCGGCAAGCTCTGACACTTCAAGCGCGCTTTGGATCTCCATGGCTTGTCATTCAGCTGCTATGTTTCAGACGAAGTGAGTTGGTTCAAAACCGGGGGTGTTTGGTATGACCACCGCACACACGAGTGTCTGGCGCCAGACGAGTGTAAAAGGCACCACCAGTCTGACTTTAAGCCCTTCCTTGAAAGAGGGTGAAAGTATCGACATGTAACCCTCACACCTTGTGGACCAACGAAAATGAAAGGAATAGACATGAATAGAGCACTCGTGAGGTCCACCGAATCCCCGGGTGAGTTCGGGGCTCCGCCGGGCTCCGCGTGCGACAAAAATGCCTGCGAAATGGCGCGATAGATGGGTTGAACGTGGGGCGAAATGGATCAAGTTGGTGTACCTGTGCAACACTTCTCACGCACCAGGTGACACAAGCATAAAACGACTTATGTGAAGTCCCACCTGCCGCGTCTGATGCGGCTCCCTGGGCAGATGGGACACTTTGAGAAGGTGCAGGCCCAGTCTTCGAATTCAACAACGAATCCATCATCTTCCCACCCCCATCCTTCTGCCATTATGAACCGCACAACCAGCTGCTGCCCATTGACCGCTCTCTTTCCCTCTCAACCAGAAGGCCTGGGGCCTGGGGAAAAGAGGCTTCGAGGTGCTTTAACACCATGCTCAGTGGTGTGCTATCAGAACATTCCTTAGCCAATCCCAGGTTCGAATCTTTCGATGTTCGCTGTCACTTTTGGTCGCTTTCAGATCTGCTTTCCACTTGGTCACTGGAAAGTGTGGAAGGCCCTCGGTGGCAGTGACGATTGTGACTGGCTAGTTGAAGGGTAAGGGATGGTAGGGGTAGGTGCTCAAATCGGTTAACCCCTAATCCTTGGTTGTCCTGCATGTCTTTCCTTGCGGGAATAATAGAAGAGATTCCATTGTTCAAACCAAAGAACGTGCAGCATCTTGATGTCGCAATACTCCTTGGATCTTCATGTCTCACTCAGTCTGCCATGCTTTTCATCTGATTCCAGTGAGGGTTTTTGTGGATTCGATTCAACAGCTTGAAAATCACCTGACACCCACACTTCTCAAGGTTTATGTCTATGTTTTGTGGGTTGTGTGGGGAAGTCCTCCCAAAAGTTCACTAAAGGATGCTAAAGGATTGAACGGGAGCAGAACCGAACGCGAGTAGGGCGACGGGTTCCGCCGCGGTTGGGAGTCCTCACCCAGTCCATTGAACCCATGGCGTAACGGCCCACCGTGATGTCCTACGTGGCGGAGGTGGCCCGATGGTGAATGGCTTGTGAATGGCTTCAGGTCGAGCAGTGCCCAAACCGCGCACGGGCCTCACTGAACTCCTTAAGGCCTGGAGATGTGACACTGCGATTCCACATCGAGAAGAGGGGGGGCCCTGAGACATTCCATCCCGACAGATCCCTTGTTTTATTTTGATGACACCTGTGCTCTCTGGCACCCTTCCACTGTTCTTGTCCGATAGGGCAAGTTTGGGATCCATTTGCTACAACGGTTCATTGAAGAAGATTACTTGTTTTACTCCATGTTGCCCAGATGTTGGGATGTCCCATTCCCTCAGCTGTAACAGTGGATGATGGTTAGTAAAGGCCCTTCTCTAAAACAGTGCTCACCCTACCCAAATGATCCCAAATGAATCTTTGAATACCAGCACCAGCGTTGACTCCTCTCTCTGTTTTGGCCTCCACATCGCACCGGGCCCAGCGTTAGTTTGGGGCAAACAGTGCTCCGATGGGCTGTGGAGAGCTGACTGATGGGTGCTGGTGGTTGGGGCTGACTGATGGGGTGCTGTGTGTGGAGTGCTGGCGCATCTGCTTGACTCTCTGAGAGCGCAGTGCTGGGCTGACGTTTTGCGCGATTCTTGAGCCAATCTGTGCCACGTGTGCTGGAGCTGCTGCCATCCAACGTGTTCAATTGCGTTGAAGCAATAAACGTACTGGCCTGAGGGAACACCTGGGTGCACGAAGCAACATCCCCTTTCAAGGGAAATGGGATGCCCATGCGCAGCATCTGAAAAAGAAACCGTCTCAGTGTTGCCCAATGTTGACCATATGTCTGCCAGCAATGAAAACCAGCAGATGTTTGCTGGATCATCACGTTCCCGTCCCCCAGAAAGACTCTCAGGGACTCCATTTTTCTCCCATCTAGGAACTCCAGATCGGCGCTTGCCTTGCGCTCTCCCAACGTCCTTGAGAACCCTGGAAAGGCGTGCCAGGCCAGGCCAGGCCTTAGGGCCCTAAAGATCCGATTCTCAGAGCAACCTCCGGTTCACACAGGTCCACAACATGTCTCTCATTCATGGAAAACACGGTTCAACCGACGACCAGGACCACGAATTCAGTGTGGGAGTCCAGAAAAAAGAAGAATTCTGTGTCCCGGAGCAGCGTGAAATGTCATGAAGGGGTTGAGTGATTTCTCATGACGTCTCCTTCACTTCACACTCCCATCATCTCCCATCTGCCTTTTTTCGTATCGCTGTCGCAGGACAAATCCTTCAGCTCCTTGATCCTCCTTCAGCTGTCCCAAGATCACACCTTCCGAGCCCATCTCCGACTTCAGACTCCCAGCTCTCCAGCTCTCGCTCTCCAGCTCTCGCTCTCACCGGCGCTTCAGGCTCGTTCCTCACGGCGGGACGTGGCGGGGCTCCTCCACCGGTCCTTCGGGTCGCCAGAGGTGCCCTCCATCAGCGTTGACATGGCTGCTGACCCATCCGCAGGTCGGGTGTGGTACTCCCACCGTCCATGCCGCGCTGGTCGGTGTTTTAGGAGATCAACAAGTCGGTGCCTTTTAAGGAGCGAATGGCATCCAGCTCGGCCTGCCACAACGGGGGTGAGCGCTGTGCACCACGGGGGTGCTGCGTAGCTTTGGAGGGTTCGGGGGACCAAAACTGGGTGCTTTCACGTGATGTTCCGTGGTTCTCCAGAAAGATCATCAAGTGAAAACTATACCTTCCGTAGGGATTCATACCTTCTCAAGTACGGTGATGTGTTCGACACTCTTATGTAGGTGGCAGGAGGCTCCAGTCGTACCTTCGGTTCGTTGTAAGCCCTGGATCCCGGATGGGCTTTTTATCGCTTAGCTGGGCCCCCCCACCGAAATAGGCCCACCCTTGGGCACCACAGTCCCTTTCTGGGTGCGTGGTCTACCACATGTGTCGACAGGGGGGGAGATCTCCCAACCTGACGGATGTCGTCTGTTGATGTTCCCAGACTGGTGCCCTTGAGGGGTCTCCCTATTCGAAAGACGGGACCCTACCAGCACCACGGTTAGAACTCCACATGTCCAATCGCCTCCAATAGCAAGCGGTGATTCGGAACACTCCATGAACCACCCTGACTGACTGGGGGTCCTGGTATAGGATTGATATATATATATATAGATATAGATAGATTGATATTTATGCCCTTTCATGGATTGGGCACATCTTCGTTTAATCCAACGATGAACTCCGTAGAACTCCGTAGAACTCGGTCGCAGCAATGCCGGCCGGAGTCATCTGCGATCCGATAGGGGAGAAATAGCCGTCAAAGGGTCGACATGACAAGCAGGGATCAACAATACCAGTATGTCAAGCATGATCAAGCTATGCAGTATGCAGGATCAACGTGTCAAGCATGCAGGATCAACAAGCAGTTAGACAAGCAGGATCAATCTCTAGACATTTCTGGGATCTCATTCTAACAATATTAATAGTATATACCAGGACCCTCCTGTCACGGGTGTCTATTTATAGCCCCTTAGCTGTTAAGGGGTGTCCATGAACCACCCTGACTGGGGGTATATAGTTGGTACCAAAATTAAAAAAAACAGAGCCTTCCCAAAGCAGATCCACCTGCGGATGCCACTTGTTCACTCAACTTGAATCGTCCACCCGATCTTTTTTATCACCCCCCATCCGCATCTGCAATTCCAATCCCCGACGGATGATGATCCGAATGCGCACCTTCAAGGAGCTGGACACTAAGCGCTCTCGTGCCAGTGACCCTTGCAGCTGCTCCACCTAAGCGGACCGTAATGGGCCTTGTGGACACGGGTGCACCGGTTCCAACCCATCGTTGTACAAACATGGCGTTCTCCAGCTTGGGAAAAGGATGGTGTCAAGGCGTTCTCTCTGTTCACCTATCTCATCCTACACCATTCTACACCTACAGACAGACATCTCGACATCACGTCTTGCTTTCACAAAACGGGTACCCCCATCGCACGCACCCCACCACGCTCCACTCGCCAGGCCCCAGGGCTTGTCGCAGGAGATGGGCCACCACGGGGTCCGGATGCCCTGCACCCGCCCCGGCAGAAACACCAGACGTGGAGGCGCATGGACATGTGAGAAGACACAGTCAGGAGCTACATGTGAGTTAGTGAACGAACTTTTTGGACATCAAAGAGTTGAACGTCCATTTTGGAGCAGTGTCTGGAAAATCTTTTTTGGAGCATCACAGGTCTGTTAAACTTAAGATGAAGTCTGCCGCAGCTAAAGAAGGTATGGAAATGACCGTCTAAGTTCCACCTATAAATTATCCAAAAATACAGTGCGACGGCGCGCCGTTCTCAATCTCTTTCAAAAACATCCCCAACTGACACAACAATTACTATAAGATCAGGGTAGTTGATGTTCTCCAAAAAAAAAACGATACTCTTCAGTCAACTCTTTCCACCACGGTCAGAGTCACGGCGGTCATAGTGAGAAAACCCCACGGAAAAGAACGGAACGTTCGATTGCCCCTCTTCGCTCTGACCTGAGATCTGATGCCGCAACGAAGCTTCCCGTTCGGCCGCCTCCAAGTGGCTCACCTGAGCGACATCGTGGGGATGTATATAGTTTGCACTATACACATACATGAAAGGCGAATCGCGGCACCCCGTTCACATCCGTTCACATCTTTCACCAAACAGGTGGTGTCTAAAACTGTTGGTAGTATAATTTTGATCATGTGAGTGCGTCAAAATGAATTGAAAGTTACTCCCACAGCGTAAGCCTCCGAGATCCACCGAGCTATTGGTCTATATAGCGCCGGTCCAGTCTCAATAGCTATTGCGCAATAGGGGAGGTTGGGATTGAGGTGCTTGCGGTTGTTTACGGTGACGTTGCTACGGTGTTCTTTGGTTTGTTCCTGCTAGATCCTGATGGTAGTTAAGAATAGTCAAGATATTAATTAAGATTAAAACCGATCCGATTCAAGCATCTCGCACCTCGCGCTTGCGACCAATTGGTTGAGGTTAGGTCCAAAGCCCCATATGGGTCCAAACCTCGCACCTGTTGCAAACCCCGGTTTGAACGCCTCCGCGTCACGCCACCTCCCTCCCTCACCTCCCCACCGGTCGCGCGCCTCGAGGGAGCGGTGGAACTCGTCCCGCTCCTCGGCCAAGCGCAGCAGCGCCCCGCGCAAGGCCTCCACGTCGTGACCTGACCGAACGGCGTCGTTGAAGCCGGTGCGGTTTTCGCCGTGCGGTTTCGGCGGCTCCGCGTGCGGTGGTAGGCGAAGAGATGAGAAGAGGTGGTTCATGGTGGGTCAATGAAGAAGTATTACTGTAGGTCACAGTAGGTCAGTAGGGACGAAGACTTGTGTCCTGATCTGATGCACCTCTGTAAGGATTTCTGAAGTTGAACTCATGAAAATCTTGCAGTCCAAGCCCGCATGAAACATGTGGAACCCACACACATAAACATCTTGATCTTCAGTGAAACTGATTCAAAAATCCCCTACCTGGATGACAAAACATCTCCATGTGGGGTTCTATTCATCAACAGCCTACAATAAGCCCCCAACATGTTATATAATCTAATATATATAGTAATATAGTAACTGCTATTCCAACATTTGCTTGAGAATTATGAGATCCAAATTCGCATGATCCAAGATGCTATCTAGCACAGCAGTCGCCGCCGGCAGTGCATCCACGGGCGCTGTGTGCCGCAAGGTGTCTGCCACTTGCCGCAGGCGCTGTGTGGCACGCTCCGCGTGCGACGTGAGGTGTTCGTGGGAAGCCGCATCACCTGACACGGTGGGGTGAATGATCAGGAAGAGAAGCTAAAAGGTGAGCGCCGGATTGAAGTCTAAAGAGTTATAAAGTATATAAGAAGCAAGGAATTCCATGGAATTCCCGTTGGGGTCACCAAAATAACGAGTTTTTGTATCGGTATGCTGTCCGAGTTTGCACCACTTCATAGTTGGCTACGTCGGCCCGATCTCCAAATGTAAGGCGATTCCTTTTGGAACTTCCGTCCAGCCCCACTGAGAACCCAAGTAGAGGTATAGCTCTAGAACAAGTTGCAGGCTCAGGGTATGATGCCAGGCTCCCCATCCTGCCTATGGCATGTTTTGCAATTTGTATGTTGCATGTTCTTGGAATTGGCACCAAAGAAAGATGATGAAAGATGCAAAGGAGCCTGCTTACACACCACCAGCACCATGCGATGGAGAAAGCCGATGGGCTTGGTGTTTTTCATGCACTTCAAACAACTATACTAATACTGCTTACATGTGGTAAGAGGATGCCCTTGGTTCTAATGAGGTGGCACATCAGAGAGAGAACTTGGGAAGATCACCCATGCAACATGACCTACCCGCTTTCCAAAGGGAATCCTTGACCAACTGAGGAAACTTTGCTGGGTCATTCTGAATTGGCCCGAGGTGCGAAACGGGACGCGAAACGCTTTGACGAAAGAGAGGTGCGACGCGCGTGTGGACCTGCACGGCTAAACACTTGGGACCTGCACGCCTCGAAGGTGTCGCCCGACCCCAGCAAAAGATTGATCATCCTGGAACCTGAAGCATCCACTTTGTTGGCGGATCATTTCCCCAAACAACCCAAGCAACCCTACTAAACTATGTATGTTTAAGGCATTCAGAATGCAATTGAAGGAAACACACCCCCACGGTGCATGATCATGATGGGAACTCTTGCTTCACACGCTAACCATCCTCAACCATGCCACTTTTGCATTCCACATCACTCCTCACCTCAACCAAACCTTTGTCTTCAGTTTGGCCATCTGCCCCCCATCTACCAGACCTCCTCACCTCCTCTGTCCCTGCACTTCCCACCTGCCTGGCATCTCCGCCACCTGCCGCAGCTCTTCGTGGAGCACCGTGCCCCGGAGCCGCTCCGCCGCAGTGGCGCTGCGCAGCCGCAGCTCCGACGCGTCGGCGTCGGACGGCTCGAGGGCCCAGAGCGCCCAGGCTTCAGCGAGCTCGGCCACCTGCGGCGGGTGGAGAGGCCACCGAAGGGGTCGGATGATGTCTTTAAACACTCAAGAGATGTTTCAAATGAAATGGATGTTTTAAATACAACTGAGATCAACTGAGTGTTTCATTTGTTAACACTCGATATTAGCTCATAATTAGCTCAATGTTTAATTCTAAACAGCCTGATAGAACCCATGAACCCGCATGCACATATACATACAAAGGCCAAACGTTGTTTGGCACATCTTGCAAAGTAACAGTATATAAGGAATTTTGTGAAAGCAACTCGTGAATTAGAGGAAGAATTGGCATCAGACGTTTGAAACGATGCATGCGATGGCCGGATTCAAGGCTTCCTAGCGAAAATGCCCTCAAAACCACGCCAATCCCATCCTCCCACTGGCCGCCCCACTACCCAACCTCCTCGGCCAACGCCAGCTGCTGCGCCTGCCTGGCCTCCCGCGTCGCCGCCTCCGCCGCGCGCC